GTGACTCTCAGGTACATCTATCTCCTATAACTACACTGACTTCAGAACACTGTAATCTTGTATCAGTTATTTGCCCTGTATTTCTAAAACACTAATAAAAGTAAGTCTTGCAAATACGGAAAGATATTATAGCTATCTTCTTAGCAAGATAGTGAATGTATCCATTTTCTAAAGCAATCTAAAGCCATTATGAGGTAATGTATTCCCTGGGGCATAGCTTTACACTTGCATCAAGTACTAGGGCCAAAATGTCAGATCATTTTAGACTTGAGCCTACTCTAGTTGAAAGCAGCCTTTGTAATGACAATTATCATTGACTGTAAACATGCCTGACCCTCTGCATATGAATAATAATGACACATTTGTTAGAATCAAACCATAAGAAATGGAAACTTATAAACAGTTTTTATAATCATACAGTAAACAGGATTCAGATCGGTTTTATTTATTAATTCAAACTTAGCTCTACAGCATATTTCTAACACACAGGTGGGCTGCCTTGTAGTAGGTTTCTCAGGAAAGTCAGCTTGTTTTACCATTGCTAATAGACTCATCTTTATGCTGAACACAAGACAGATCCAACACAGTATAAGTATTCATCTAAGCAAATACAGAACTTTGGATGGAAAGAATTTGGCATGTTATTTTAAGTAACCTTTCAGCAGATTATAAATTGTGCACAGTACACAGCCTTCTCTGGTGTAAAAATCCACCCTTCTCACTAGGGCTTTTAGTGGAAATGGATCATCCTAACCAAGAACAGTTTGTGTGAGTGAACACAAAGCTTAAGAAAGAGAACGGTAACTTCATGAAAGGCCACTTAACCCCCTTCGTCCCACCTCCCCTTTTTCAACAAGCCTTCACCAACTTACTTCTCCTATCCAAATTTGGATACCAAAGCAGCTGTGATATGGAAACCCATTGAAAAGTAGAAAACCCAGTTAAAAAAAAACAACAACACCTTTTTACAACTGAAGCTTCAACAGAAGGAACGGATATTTTTGGCAAAATGCTATCCTGGGTTGCTGTTGCATTCTCTTGAGTAACATGTTCTGACCAAGAAACACATTACGTGTCTCCTACTCCAGCTCTCAGTTACTGCAAAAGGGGTTTCATCACTTCGAAGCAACTTGCATATCTGAGCTGCCTTCCAGTGGACGTGACTGGATAATTGCAACCACCTTAATCCAACCAACTGGATAGCTGTTAACCACCTTAATCAGCTCATGCATATTTATCTCTCTCTGAAACTTTTAGAAACTATCTAGCAAGAGAGGCAACATACATATCCTCCCTCTCAAAGATGACTTTTCATAGATAACAATTATGTCTGCACGTTTGGAGGGATAAGAAATAACAAAGAAACAATCAAATCTTAAATCCCACAGAAAACGACCTTGCAGAAAATGCAGCCTCATTGATGAAAGTTCTTCTCTCCTTCATAGCTGGGTAAATTTTCTGTGCTGCAAATGTTAGTTAATGCAGTAAGACTGTAACAAAAATAAGCCATTCAGTTGTAAAGGAGCAGTGAGGTGGGGACACCTACCACAGGTAAAGATTGTATTGTGTCAGGCTGCATGCCATCCTATTTATAGCTTGACCACAAATGCAGGCATGGGGCATCTTGACCTCTCCCTCACTTCTTAAACTCACAATATTTTAGAGCAAGATATCAAGGATTCCCTAAAACTATGTGACTGGTTCCTATCTCTTACAAGATCCTCAAAAAGCTGCAGAATGGATAAACTCTATGTCAAGCGTTACACTAGCAAGACAAGAATAGGTAAGTGATGTGTAAGAACCAAATCCTGCTGTATGTGATATCACTATATGCCAAGAGAAGCTCCTTGGAAGCCGTACCTGAGAGAAGTTATTGGGACAAACAATTACAAACTTAATTCTCTTGATCTTACATGTTACTATCCATTTACTGTAGTCTGAGCTCAAGCTTGAAAATCAACTATTCACTACTTATTAATACAACAAAAGGACAGCAAGCAGGATGCTGTTTGGTAGATAATACAAAGGAGTCTTTCTGCCTGTCTACTTTCCAGTCAGCTTATTCTCCCAATCACCTAAGAAATGCAAGCTCCAAATAACAAACAGGTGATTCCATGGATAGCTTGAAATAGTTCATTAAAACAACCTCCAGAAATAGGCAAAAAGTCACAGGTTAAAACAACCAACCTACCTATCCCCCCAAAAACACTGTGAAAGGAAAAAAAGAAGTATTTTTTAGAAGCATAGGTCTTTTTGCTTATTTAGGGACTTTTAGCCCATATAGGGACTGTGTAAGGGACGGCTCTATCAGGTATACTTGTGGTTAATAGATGCTACAATGTCAAATTCCTACACTGGGCATCCACATATTGCATGTTTACAAACACATGTGTGCACATAAATACATGGTAAAAGCAATTATCAATGTTTTGGAGACTTTTAAATCTTTTGGCTGATGTTGCTAGGACTTTTTTAATATGTGCAGCTCAAATGACTTTGGGTACTTCCAAACAAGCATTACAAACTACCTCTATTCACTTAGTGTTTCTGGAAGAAAGAACAGCCCTATTAAAATCAAAGGCCAACTTCTATTGACTTAAGTGGCTTAATACACTAAAATCCACATAAGCTTCAATTTTGCTTTCCTTTATACTAATGGAAATCCTAAATAATTGCTCTGAAGTTAGTAGAGACTCATGGGATAAATACAAAAGGAGCAAAAGGGTCATTTTATTTTATAGCTTAGATCGATACATGTGTGATATATTAACTCCATTGTCACAAAGACTGTTAAGAGCCTTTGATTTGTATGTTTATGTAATTAAAAACTTGGGATACAGAATTGACCCATGATAAAACTGCATCATGAAAGACTGATTGGGAAGGGTATTCATGTTTTAGAATGCGCTATGAATGAGAGGGACTTCTGGAAAGATTCTTAAGAAGAAATACATGATCAAATATAAGCCAAAAGAACCAGAGGCTTTAATCAAGAGATAAATGAACTCCTTACTTTTACAAGAGATAAAAACTAATTTAACTGTATAAAAAGGCAGATGAGATCTGCTCAGGTATGCAGTGGGCACAGCTGCGTGGATGGTATGCGTGTGCCTGTTTGTGGCACACCTTCCAGGCACTCTGCTACAACTCCTGCTTTGGAGAGTTAATGGTCTGTTATTTGTACAGCATGGACAGGGCTCTGACAGCACAGAATTGCTGGAATTAATTCTCCTTTGCTCACACAGTCCTATGCTGGCTGGAAAAAAATGTCCTTTAATCATTTAATAGTTTGGCTCTTGCGCGTAAATCCACCAATTATTACACGGATTTGGGATTCAGAATAGTATAAAGCAAATATTCCTATGTAAAGGAATACTGGCTTTATTAAATTCCTATAACTAAATTATATAATTAAATTATATTATTAAATTCCTATAACTAAAGAGAGCATTCCTCTGCAAGCCAGTCTTGGGTTTGTACCATCTAGAGTTCAGATTCCCCTTTTCTTAAAGGGCTGAGGGAAAATAAATGCTTAGCTTGCCATGTAAATCAAAAAAAAAAGAGAAAAAAGTTCCTTCAAATTTCACAGACACTTTCATGCCTGAGCTCTCACTGCAGGAGTGTATCCTGCTCAGTCTGTAGCCTTCTTTGCCAGGACTAAATGCAGCAGCTTTCCTGATCTACCACTATTATCATTAACTTAAACTGACATTGTCTTAAAAGACTTCTCATTTTCCCCACATTTTAGAAAAGAAATTCTCTAAGAGTTTAATCAGCTCTATTGCAGAACTTCTCATGGCACAATTGATAATAAAATGAAATGGAAATTATAACAAAATTAATGCCCCTTTACATTTTTTGTATTTTCAGGCAGATCTTTTTCCTCCTAAAAGTGGTACATATTTGTACGAGCAACAACTGAAAACTGTTAAACTTCAGTATCATGTTACCAAAATATGGCTTCCAAAAGAAAAACCAAAATACCTCCCTCACCCAAGATTCTGCCACAGCGCTTGAATTCAACATACACAGCTACAAGACACACACCTTCTAACTCTCCCAAAGCTGAGATTCCTACACAGGCTTTTAACTACAGCAGATGCAGCTGGCCAAAAAGAGAAAACATTCCAGTAAGACGAATCACAGGTTGAAAGTCTGCTTTAAAGAAAAGTCTGATACCAAGCCCGGAGAAAAAAAAAAACCAACCACAAAGCAACACCTCGGGGGAAGTGTAAGGCGAGGCCGCACCTCAAATCCTGTGTTCAGCCCTGGGCCCCTCACGACAAGAGTGACATTGAGGTGATGGCGCGGGGCCAGTGAAGGGCAATGGAGCTGGTGGAGGGCCTAGAGCACAAGTGTGATGGGGAATGGCTGAGGGACCTGGGGGGGGGGGCGGGGGGGGTTCAGTCTGGAGCAGAGAAGGCTCAGGGGGGACCTTATCGCTCCCTACAACTGCCTGACAGGAGGATGGAGCCAGGAGGGGCTGGGCTCTGCTCCCAAGAAACAAGGGAAGGGAAAGAGGAAACGGCCTCAAGCTGCACCAGGGCAGGTTTAGATGGAGCTGAGGAACAATTCCTTCCCCAGAGGGTGCTCAGGCATTGGAACAGGCTGCCCAGGGCAGGGCTGGAGTCACCGTCCCTGCAAGTGCTCACACACCGTGGAGACGAGGCCCTCAGTGCCACGGGTTAACCTCAGGGTTACTGGTGGCCTTGGCAGTGCAGGGGAACAGTTGGACTCGTGATCTTTTCCAATCTACTTGATGATTCTGTGATTCTATGATTTGTACTCCTCAACGGAAAAACACCCATTCTCCACCTTGTCTTGCTGCAGGGCAGTAGGAGACGCCCCAGAAGGTCCCGCTAAACAGGAATACAGCAATTCCCCCAGGGAGGGGCGCAAGGCCTGCCTCAACTCGGGGCTCCAGCCCAGACTCCTCGCGTCGAGCCCCGGGCCAGGCCAGGCCTCGCCGTGACCGCACTATCTCACAACGAGGCACTTACCGAGCCCCAGCACCGGGATGCTGCAGCCGCTGGCGAGCGGCAGAACGGGGCATTTCAGCTCCGCCACAGCCATGCTTCCCCTCCGCGCGGACTACAACTCCCGGCAACCCCTGCTGCGCACAGCGTCGCAAAGCGTCGCAAAGCACTGCAAAGTGTGACGGGAGCGTGGCTTCTGGCGGCGGGCGGGAGGCAGGTGGGGTATGGGTGTTGGGCTCGGGGGTGTGTATGTGTATGTGTATGTGTATGTGTGTGTGTGTGTGTGTGTGTGTGTGTGTGTGTGTGTGTGTGTGTGTGTGTGTGTGTGTGTGTGTGTGTGTGTGTGTGTGTGTGTGTGTGTGTGTGTGTATAGAGGGCGTATGAGTAGGGGTGGGCCCGCCCGGGGCTGTGTGTGAGGTGGGGTGGGCCTGCCCTGCTGTCAAGAGGCGGGTGGCAGGAGCGGGGAGCTGTGCAGGCAGCTGATGCCCGTTTCCCTCCTGTGACAGGTGGTGGTGTTGACGGTGAGCCTGGGCCCGGCGGCTGTAGCGATCTCTGGAAGCATGCTGTACCTGGTCGGGCTGGGCTTGGGAGATGCCAAGGACATCACGGTGAAGGGGCTGGAGGTGGTGAGGCAGTGCCACAGGGTGTACCTGGAGGCCTACACGTCCATCCTCACGGTGGGCAAGGAAGCACTGGTAGGTCTGGCCACTGGTGGCCCACAGGGCCTACCGCCTCTCCTGCCAAGGAGGGTGGTAGGTCAATAATGTCAGCAGGAGAAACTGGTGGTGTGTGATCTCCAAAAAGGTACGTAGGTGACTCTCACGTGCTGCCAGTAGTATCCTGGGGTGCATCGGAAGGAGTGTGGCAGAAGGTCAGGGAGGCGATCCCACGTCTGGAGCACTGTGTCCAGTGCTGGGCTTCTCAGTATAAGAGAGACAAGGAGCTACAGGAGAGGGTCCAGCGGAGGCAACAAGAATGCCCAGGGGTGTGGAGCAACATTTTTACAATGAGAGATTGTGGGTGCTGGAACTGGTTAGCCTGGAGAAGAGCAGTCTGAGAGGGGATCTCATCGATGCAGATCAATAGCTCAAAGGGAGGTGCCAGGAGGAGGGGTCTAGGCTCTTCCCAGTGGTGCCCAGCGACAGGATGAAGAGCCATAAACTGAAACACAAACATGGGGAAGAACTTCTTTCTATTGAGGGTGACAAAGCCCTGGAATGGGCTGCCCAAGGAGTTGTGGAGTCTCCCTCTGGAGGCATCCCGAACACACCTGGACACGATCCTGTGTATCCTGCTCTGGGTGGCCCTGCCCTGGTAGGGAGTTGGACTGGGTGATCTCCAAAGGGCCCTTCTAACCCTAGTGATTTTGTGAGTCTGTATTTTTATAGGAGAAATTGTTTTGCTACCTTGTGCGAAGACTGGAATGGAGAAAAAACTTTCCTTCCTACAGGTGTTGACGCTAGTTTTCATCTCAAATTCTAACAATATATGGAGATGTGAGTGAATTTGGTTAGAAAAAGGTCTGATCTGTTTAAAAACAAACAAATCAAAAGACATATCAGAAAAATACATGTTCTGGAGCCTTGAATCTCTTGATTCAGCCTGAGGTAGTATGGCGTGCCTGCTGGGAACAACAGTTTGACTATCTCACATGTCCATGTTTCCTGGTGGGCCAAGCTGTCTCACCATTTTGAGACTTAGAGAACACACACTGTTCAGTCAGAGATATGCTGTTGAACAGCATGGAGATAAAAATTTTATTAGCAAACACACCTTATGGAAGAAAACAGTAGTAAACATGTACAAATTATAACTCTGATGGCTTCACTGGGAATAGGAAGGTACAGTTTAATGTTGAAATAATACCCAAAAAAGAGCTTATCTACCCACAGAACACTGATCTTGCCTCCAAAAGCTATGTAGTGTTATACAGAGATGCTGCCTGGGTCTTGGATGCTGTATAGCCATAGCAGAATCATAAAATCACACAGTGGTTTGGGTTGGAAAGGATCTTGAGATCATCCAGTTCTAGCCCCCTGCCATAGGCAGGGAAACCTCACACTAGAGCAGATTGCCAAAGGCTCTGTCCAACCTGGCCTTGAGCACTGATCCTGGAACTGCCTCATGCTAGACCATGTTGCTCCAGGCCCCTTCCCACCTGGGCTTGAACACTGCCAGGGATGAGGCAGCCACAGCTTCTCTGGGCACCCTGTGCCAGCACCTCAGCACCCTCACAGGGAAGAGCTTCTGCCTTAGATCTAACCTGAACTTGCCTTGTTTCAGTTGGAACCCATCACCCCTTGTCCTGTCACTACAGTCCCTGATGAAGAGTCCCTCTCCAGCATCCTTGTAGCCCCCTTCAGACACTGGAAGCTGCTCTGAGGTCTCCATGCAGCTTTTCTTCTCCAGGCTGAACAGCCCCAGTGTTCTCAGCCTCCCTCCATACGGGGGGTGCGTCAGCCCCTGATCATCCTCGTGGCCTCCTTTGGACTTGCTCCAGCAGTGCCATGTCCTTATGTTGAGGACACCAGAACTGTACACAATACTCCAACTGGGGTCTCATGAGAGCAGAGCAGAGAGGCAGGATCACTTCCTTCAACCTGCTGCTCACACTCCTGTTGATGCAGCCAGCACACGGGTGGTTTCTTGTCTCAAGCACACACTGAAGCAGCTCCTGTTCAGTTGCCCATCAACCAACACCCCCAAGTCCTTCTTCACAGGGCTGCTCTGAATCACTTCTCTGCCCATGTATGTGTATGTGCATACAGCATGTGAGAATTTAGCTTGTGCTTGTAGTCAGCATGATGTGGTTTTCAGACACAAGCCTAGGCTAGAACATTTGCGGCCATCTCTGGCCTATCTGCTGTATTTTGAAATGAAGATTACTCCCTATTTCGGGCTTGGGTTTGGGGTTTTTTTCAGTACGCTGAAGCAATCTGAATTGAAATTAATCCAGTCAAAACAAAATGTTAGTTTTTTTGTTGTTGGATAGTTGGAAAATTGCATTTGGATATTTTTACTTTGCAGAATCTGCGTCTGCCATTAAAAAATGGATTCCTAGCCAGCTGAAAATAAAACACTGAATAATAGAAAAATGCTGGGTATTTTTGGTGTGGTTATTTTTGGGGGTTTGGTTTGTTTTTTATTAAGTCTTTTGAAAACCTTGAAGTCCCAAAGATGAGGTAATTGGGAAAAGTGATCAATAAAAACAAAGTAAAAGATGCCATCTTAACCTGAAACTGCCCAAGAAGGAACATAGGAATTAACTACGAAGCCCAGTTTCCATACGAGTGACAATTCTGGGTGGTTTATCTAGTAGTCTGAAGGTCAGCCTCCCTTAAACACCATGAAAAGTTATGGGAAAGCTCTCAAGAGATAAAGAACTCTATATTCTATATTCTCTAAGGAATTTTCTAGAAATCTTCCTGTGTCGATGCTTTTAAAACCAGATCTCAAAAGTCCAATGACATGACTTGCCTTGTTTATCTTGTTGGCCTGAAACATATATTAAAGGCTGCTTGATGTTGACCATCTAAATCAGACCTCAGTTTGGTGGAAGAACTGTTTGGAGCCCGTGACCTCCCAGTGGGTCTGCATCTTATTTTTTGTCAGGAGAGTGCTTTTTTGTATTCTGTAATGAATGTGCTTTGATTTGCATGGTAGAGCAGTCTCAAAGCATGTAAATAGATTCCATTTTTGGCACAGGCAGAGAAACTTACACAAAAATGGTGAGGAAGTCATCTTTAGAAAGGGGAACCAAACCCAGTAACAGTCCCATATCTAGTACTCAGTATGGGATGGATTTTTTCATGGAAGCACTGCTCTGCTTCTCTACAGTTATGACAGTTCTCTTGTCAATTCATTATTCTTTGTGAGCAAAGATGAAGCTATCGCTGAAGTCACAGGAGACTTTATCAATTTGTTAATACTTGTAATACCACTCAAGTTTTCTGAATGCTATTTAGAACAAAACCTCCTTTTTTGGTCTGTACCCTGGAGCAAACCTTTAATCATGTGAAGAGCATGTGAAATGTGTAGTGGTACATAACTTAAAGACACATATGTTCAGGTAACGTGTTCTAGAACAGAGGTTTTATTACACATGTGAGGTTGATTCTGGAAATAAAGGCATTAAAAACTTACAAAGAGACACAATAATTACTGAGCTGCTGAAGAAAAGCAAAGGACGTGATCAAATACATGTTTACTTATATACATAGTAAAGTATTTCTTCCAGAGAACTGAAGATGAAGAACTAATACGAAATCACTCCTTAGATGTGGTTAGCTACAATGTACTAGGGATAATCAAAACCACCTATGTTGTGGTGTAGCTAATGTCGTATTTGCCTCGGGTTTGATGTCAGTGTTACAGTTAACCTAAGCACTTAGACTCAGTCTTGTGGGAGGGGATGCCTTGCAGTAGGATGACCAGTTAAATTGAGTCCACCCAGATACATTTGGCATGAAGATGTCATTGAGCTACATTTGGAGCAGCTCCTCAACTGACACAAAAGGCATAAAACCCCAAGTCAGTATCAGAATAACAAGCTTGACAAATTTTGGGCAGTTTTGGAGCTACTTTATGGGAAGCTCAGGTGTTCTTGCAAGGGGAGGAAGGTTTCTCTTAAGACATGGGTCAGACTGCTGGGGAGAATAATAAAGTTGGCCTTTCCAATGTCTATTGGCAGTGTTCCTAAGTGTCTAATTTTGCTGTTTCTTATTAATTTCAATTTCTAGGAAGAGTTTTATGGAAAAGAATTGATTTTGGCTGACCGAGAAACAGTGGAACAAGAAGCAGATAACATTTTAAAAGATGCTGATGTTTGTGATGTCGCATTTCTTGTAGTTGGTGATCCTTTTGGGTAAGACAAAGCAATATTTGAAATACCGCTGTAGCTTGGTCATTCTCTTTTTTCAATAGGAAGGAGCCATACCACATAATTGTAATTGTTCATGAAGAAGCTGATTTTCATACCAGAAGCATGTTTTATTGCATTAAAAATATACATGCAAATGTCTACACTTTATATTGCTTTGCAGTTTCCTTGCCCAGATATTCTTTATGGCGAGGAATGGGAACCCTCCAGGATGTATGATTCTTTCCTTCAGCGGTCACTTATTTCATTCTTCATGCTAGCTTCTATAGAGAATATTTTTGTTCCTTGATTTATCTACTAACACAAGAAATTCTAGGATATCACATAAAGAAGAAATATACTCTGTTCTGAGAGACTATTCTTTTAGTTGCTCTTTGTACTTATAAATGTGGCTTTCACGCTCAGTTGCTTTAGAATGGATACTGATTGTTGTACAGTGCTTCTGCTTTGATATATGCTAGTTTTTAAAATCATGTAGGTTGTTCAACATGTCTTCTCCTTTTGGTTTATTAAGCCTTTTGTTTCTACTTTTTATTCCTGCTGAAAAGTAGAGTCATTTTCTATCACCAGAAGGATCTCCTTCTGTCTTTGCAGTCAGGCATCATCAATCTATAAATGTCAAGCTATACAGAAGAGCTTTTAGTCTCCAGCTGGTGATTCAAGATTTATACCACAGCGTTAAGGGGCACAAGAAAAATCAAATCACTGAGCAGCCCATTTGTGAGTGACAAAGTAGAGTTTATGAAAAAGAGGAGCAGTGTGCGCATCTGTCAAAAGCAGATGATTTATGTAAATACAGGTTGAAGGGAATTGGCAAGAGAATGTGATATTAAACTAGTACTTCGGGGTGAATGATGCTGTGTTTCAGGAATATTAATTATATTTTCAACATGTTAACATGAAAACTAGGATTCACATAAAGTGTAGAGCCACATTACCTGTACCTTTGTACTCTGATCCAGTGACTGATAATAAATACACAAGATGAAAAAAACAAACCACATGTATTGAAATGAAATGGCTGCTTGTAAGCAATATCTCGAGCTGCCTCATATAATTCGTTTCAGTATCAAAATCCTTCAATTTGACTAATATACTACGTCATTGTGGAAAACTACCCTTTTTTAAATGAGTTGCTTCTGTCTAAATGTTTATGTTCTTAATATTGCAGCTAGAACTCCTGTGCCATCACAGACCCCTAAGGATTTAGGGGTTCATGAGGTTACTAGGAAAGAGTACTGAATGTTTCTGTCCTAAGAGAAGCCACATGGGAGGAGAGTAGAAGCCATGTGACTGCAGCTGATCGTAGAGTTTCAAGTATGTTTGCAGGTCAGAAGAGTGTTTAGTCTTAGGAAAGCTCAGGTTTTGGTGGTCAATAGTTCAAGTGATAAAACAAGCTGTACCCCTGCCATTGTTCTTACTGTTGTTCACTGTGTATATGTGGTAACAGCTATGGATGTGCTAGCAGAAACCTGACAAGTTTAGTAGCATACAGGCAAGCGCACCTTCATCTAGCCTAATGCTGACATTCATATTATTACTATCCATAACACTTAAAAGTCTCTATTGGTGACAGAAAATCCTAGTAAAGCTCTGGATGCAGAGAGCTGACTCCTTGGAGCCTTCTCTAGTACTAGCCAAGTACTCACAAGGGCATTGCTGCTTTCAGCTGCCATCATTATGGACATATCTATTAGAAGAACATACTGGCTGGAGCAAATTTCAGTGACTAAAGCCAGCTGATCCCTTGGTCAGTATTAGCATAACCACAAAATCCTTCAGTGCTCCTTGTCCTGTGTGTGTGAAAGGAATAATACAAGACTCTAAAACTAGTCCCCTCTTCTCTCAGAGTAGGCATTCCTAAACTAAGTTTGTTTCTGGAAGTCAGGAACTCAGTCAGTTTACTAACCAAAGCGTTGTTTTAGATCACTTTATTGCATTCTTCTGTGCCTGGAAGCCTGTGTGTATCATGGTCTCCAGTTTCCCAAATTCAGATTCCTTCATTTTTTCCTTCAGTGAAATTCTGTTTTAAGTGATTTCAAGGCCAGGTGGGACAGGGCTTGGAGCAGTCTGGTCTGGTGGAAGGTGTCCCTGCCCGTGGTAGGGGTTGGAACTGGATGAGCTCTAAGGTCCCTTCCAACCCAAACCATTCTATGATTCTATGATTGATCTTTACAGCCTTCTAGCTGCTGCCACATTTGTGTTCCAGTCTGAAGCACCTGATCTGATTGGTGGTAGTCAGACATGCGGTGTCAAAATTTATCAGACTAAAAATCAGGAGAATTCTGTCAGGGCAACTGAATGAGGCCAGGGTGAAAGCAGTCTTCCTATTTATTTATTCTAATTTCTTTCTTTGCTTCCTTCTTTGTAATGGCCACACAGAAGTCTGTAGTACATCCTGGCAATGAGATGGCTAAGGTCACTTTTAGGTTTGATAAATTTAGCGAAATGCATTTCCGTATATCACAGGGAAAATGGAGTGCCTAGCGTGTATGTAAGCATACATGTAAGCATACATTCAAGCAAGATACATAAGTAAACACTGTTGCAGTTCAAAGATGTGCTGGATTCATATTTACCATCTTAGAAGGACTCTAATCCCAATTGCGTTAACTACAAGCCCAGGAATTCTTGCAGCATTCACTGCAAGGTGTTTATTAGGCATTAGACCTGGAGCCCAGTTTAGCTCAGTTCTAAGTTTAATTAGAAGTTTCTTAATTGTTACAGAAAAACTTGAGCGCTCAAACTTGGGCATCGGTAATTTGAGTAATTTGGCTTAAATGTCATAAAAGTCAATTTAGTCTAAGGATGTCCAAGTACTGCGTGCAGTTTACCTCAGTTCAAAGCTCTGTTTGAGTGTGTTGCTTTCCTGACATACACTGGTGCAGATGGGAGAAGGCCTGGCTCTACCCCGAGTAAGGAAATATTGGACTTGTGCTGAAGTCTATGCCAAATAGAGTTGACCTTTACAGTTCAACAGTTGTCCAGCAGACAGCTGCAGAAGACAAAGCATAAATGGAACTTTTCCTTTTCAAGTCCTTTGCAAAGCTACTTTAAAAAGTAACAATTGTGTGGTGTTAAGAGTTTTAATGATGCCAGAAATCTGCAAAGAACCATAACATATTGAGGACGCCTGTATTTTCAGCTAGGGAAGATGACATATGGAAGCCTTACTGGAGTTTTTACTTTCCATTTACAATTAGTCATGTTATTGTTGCCCTTTTGGCACCTCTGCATTGCCCTGGTTGTGAAGGGTTTAATTTTACTTTCAAAACAAACTATAATGCTGGTAACACTTGATCACTTCATCTTTTCAGTTTTTAACTCCTTTATTTTCCTAACACAGGGCCACAACACACAGTGATTTAGTACTACGTGCAGTAAAACTGGGGATTCCATACAAAGTCATTCATAACGCTTCAATAATGAATGCAGTGGGCTGCTGTGGTTTACAGGTAACATTTTTACAGATACGCTATTCCACAAGTGCTGAACTGAAAACTGGTGAGCTCTTTTGCTGCTATGGCAATGCATGTTGCAATCTGAAGCTTGAAGATCTGTAGGAACTGTACACTTCTGTTGTCAGAATTTGTTAACACTTCCTTTTCAGTGTGCTGCACATGAGCAGAAGTCCCTTTTGATGAGCGCATGTGTAAATGAATAGTGACACTTCTGCTCTGCTCTCTAACTTCCCTCTGCCCCAGGAGACTTTGATATCTAAGTTACTTTACAGATAAGGCTTTGCTCTTGTTGGCTTCCTTCTGCTACTGATGGTCACCTGATAAGTTTAGTTTTAAATTAGGCTGTTATCCTGTTGAGAGATACACTGGTCTTGTCATGAAAGGAATATGTGCAGAAGCCTGTCTGTGTGCTCAACTCAGATCACAACTGATTCCAGAATCTTCTGTGTGATGCATTCATTCTCTCCAAGGTTGACCTGTCTTCACTTTTATGCCCTTCTGCTGAGAGAGGAGAGGCTTGCCGACCCAAGGACTAGAAGAACAAGTGATAGGTTTTGTGCTTCTTGAATGGCCAAAGTAGAAAAGATCTGGTGTTCCCCAAGAAAATACTTCAAACTATTCCCTTTTACAAATATATAGGTCCATTATTCCTCTTCCAGCATGAAAAACTTTATGGCAGAGTATGTATCATAACTTATACATTATTTGAAGCCTCCTCCTTTTGTTTTCATTCATTATTTTAACATAGAACCTGCCCTCTTAAGGTTCAGAATGATTCCCTGTGTATGGGAACCGCTAAATCAAGCTCCTGCTTCACCAAAACTGAAGGCAAGCACAGGGATGTAGGTGTACCATGGACAAGAGCCGAGGCTTTGAATAACAGGTTTTCATCACTGAAGGAGGAAATATTCCTTCCTAGCATAACATAAAAGAATACCATTCTCTTTAATTTTAACAAACAACTGACACCTTCAAGTTTACAGTGACAATCTCCTTATCTCAGTGCTGCCCTGCATCAGAAGGTCTGTTGCAGTAAGTTGGGTATTATCTCTGGCTTTGTTCACATTTGAATGGTTTAGAAATGGGAGAGCCCTGTGTGATCTGGCAGTGCAGCAACACTGCCTTGACACTCTTCTGAGCTGTGAGTGCTAATCCTGAAGGGAATGCAGCACAGGATTCACATTATTTATCATTCTTTCTGTGAGCACTTCTTTAGTGATACCTGCCTGTTGCTGTAAGACTTGGGTAAAATTATCTTTTAGGAAGGAAATAGGCTCCTTGGTGTCTAAAATCTACAAGTACAGCAGACAGATGGCAGCTGCTACATGACTGCACTTACTGGAGTGGGTAGCACGGGTCTTGGGGCTGGGGCTTACCCTTTCCACTTTTAGCTTCAAGGTGGTGCAAAGTTTGCTTGTGCTGTCAAGCTGTTGACAAGTAGTTTCTACTACCTGCTATCTTTTTACTGTTCTTTTATTTTCTTAGGAAGGAAGGCACAAGGCTTGTGTTCCCAATGAGAACAGGTGACTAGGGTTTCTGAAAATCTGCTTCCCCCACAACTCCAGCTAGGCATAGGAAAGAGGAGTACAGAACTCTGAGGTGAATTAAAAACCAAAAAGAGCGGAAAACTAGCTGGGAATATATTGCAAACAGTCTATAAGGTTTGTCACATAGGCAGTTTTGGAGGTTAGCTTACTATTTCCTTGTCCCATGCTGAAGAGAACAGTCCATGAAGGAAATGTGATGTTATTCACTCTGGCATTGGTCCCCTTTTCCATTCTGGCTTGGGAGGGGCTGCCTTCCCATAAGTCAACATTTCTGTTGTTGTATAAAGCATTTTAGGAAATGGTGATCATATTGTGTTACCAGACAGACTATAACCAGCTGGATGTTAACTCTTCATTGGTCCTTACAGGCATAAACAGCAAGTGAGGGGTCTCTTATTAAAAAGCAGCCTGTGATTTAATTAGAGCTGTGGGGGAAGTTCATAAGTTTTTCCAGCAGTCTTTACATTCATGGCTGTCTCCTGCCATCAGTTTAGTTTTGGAGCTGCTGTGGTTTAAATTGCAAACTTGCTGTCAAGTATAGCAGGGATTCCTCTTTTGCTTCACCACAGAAAAGGCTGGGCTTTTTTTCTTGTGTTAATCTGATTGTAATACAAAACCTCTTTCTTTCTTACTGGAGAAAAACAGGAAACACCTTTATACGTTGTTGTGAAAGCCACATGTGTAGTGAGCTGTAGCTGCTGATTAGGCCTCAGTAAAATGCAGCTACAGCCCAGTGCCCAGTCTGTTCACAAAAGAACATGTCTCTTGTCATCAGAGCAACATTTCTGTGCAGCCAACAACATTCTGGTAGTTGTGCAGTTTTCCTGAACAGCAGTGAGTTACTGGAGTCGTTAGTGATGGTTTGTCACCTTCCTAGATCTATTTCTTGTCAAATTTTAAGGGTGAAAATCTATTTTCAAATACTTTTTTTTACTGCCTTGCCCATTTGACGGACTCAGCTTGGAAGGCTGCACAGGTGAAGAGTATATTAGTACAAAGCGCAAGTGTTTTTCTTTTAACTTTGAAAATTAAACCCTTCTAGGAAGCTCTCACAGGTTGATACCATGAGCTGTAGTTATTGAAAGCAGAGAATAGTAGAACTTAGCAAAGTATTAGTGTGACTGGGCATAAGGCTCTATGATTTGCTGTGGCTCTTTCTTTTAGGCTGTTTTTGCTGTACTTTCACTGTGTCAGGCTGAAGAACATAATTACCCTCAAAATCAAATTAATATGGCTGGAATGGTAGGAGAAGCCAGGAAAAGTGCCTGTGTGTGAGCACCTCTTAACATGTCCTCTGCAGGTTCACCTCTCCTGATTGGTATCTGAATTGTAGGTATGTTGATCACTCTTGACTCCTGTTCTAGTAGGGAACAACCACCAATGAAGAAATTCATGCAGTTTGTGCATACTGCCATGGAAGTCAAGGAGAGAGGACAGACATTCTCAGAGAGTACTTCTAGTGGATGGTAACTAGCGAGACAGTTCAGCTTTCCTCACCAGCAGCTGCACTGTAGTTCCAGAGCTTTGGAAAGCTTAGTATTTTACTATAGTAAACTGTAGTTTACTACAGTTAACTATAGTTACTATCACTGCTCAGCTACCTTGTGAACAAGACATTGCTAATCAACTAGGATCCAGCACTGCAAGCTGAGAATAAAGGGAGAGCCCAGCCCTACTTCCATGGCTTTATCTGTACCCACACTCAGTCCTTCAGAATAGGGCTGATCACTGAGGCTTTTAGCCCTAGAATAAAGAGGCAGAAAACTCAGAATCTCAAATTTATACCTTTTTCCTTCCTTCCTAATCTGGGTTACTTTGGGAAGGTCACCAGAGTGGTGCTCTCAGGACTGAATTCTCTGTGACCCAGTTCTGGTAGTGCATCTTTGAGAGAGGTCAGACATGTGAGAAAGATTCTGCATCACAGTGACCTGTGTGAACAATGCAACTCAAAATGGCTTGAGATAATGGCATTACTGTAAAAAAAGGTGATAGAGAACTAAAGTGCAAAGCTAGAGGCAAGCCATAGGATTGGAGCCACATAGGAGTCTCTCATTTCTGAGAGAGTGGTGTTGCTAGTTTTAAAAGCATTTACTTTCTATTTTGGTAGGGTAGCTACCCCATGTCAAGGCAGAGACCTGCCTCTCTTTTGAGATATACCCACTTTCCACCTGAATAGCTTTAGAACAAACATCTGCATGTCCCCTTGTGTCTGTCAGTCACTCAGCTTGATTTTTTTGTGTCTGGAGGCCAGCTCATTCTTGTAAGATTTACAGTTAGGAAATAGTTTTGTCTTTTCACTACTAGCTGATCACTGAAATGTGAAAGCAGTGCTCACTGTGGGGGTTTTGAGTGTTTACTGAACAGGTGAGTACATTTGCAGCAGCAAGTAGAAAACTATTACTTGCAGGTTAGGAAGTTGAAGGATGTTATCATTACTCACTGAGCTTACAGTCAAATAGAAAACCTGTAGTAGCTGCAGGAACGGAACCTTTGAGTTCCACCCTCTCTCTGTGCCCTCATCTTCAAAAATACTCTTTGCTGTGATGGGAGGGGCTCTGTGCAAAATGTTTTTTATTCAGCACCAGTTAAAACAAACTGTTTCCCATCATTGGTTGGTTTTCTCACTTACTACCAGCTTCTGAGCCTTTTAGAAGTTGTTTCTCAAGCTATTGAAAGGTTAAATCAGTACTGGTCACACTACTTCATTACTCACAATTGCTGTACAACTCAGTGCCATTTGTCACCAGGAAACATGACCCAGAAATACTCATTTGATCAGAATAATTCTTTTTCTCCATTCAGAGAACTCTTTCAGAGTAGTAATCCAAGTGACCAGAGTGGGAAGGAATCATTGTTTGGCATTGCTGGGAAGAGTCTTTGGAGGTTATTAAAGATAAGGTAACATTACCTTGGCGGGAAAATCCTGCCCTGTTCAACTTTGTTTGGAGTTTCTGAGTGTTTGACAGCTGAATTTTGTTCTGCTTGTGGAGTGGCTGTTTCCTAAGTGCTGATTCAGGAGGCAGCCAAGAGAAAAATGGGTTCTTCTCTTCAGCTGCTTTTATGTAATTTGTCTCAGCTGCCTCCTGAAGACTGCAATCATGTTGAGTGGGTTTCCCTCAGCCAGACATTCTTGTCTTCACAGTTCCTTTCTCTCTGGCATGTACTAAGAGGACTGGAGATTTTTGGACAGCTGAGCTAACCTGTTGGCTTGCAGTACAAAAATGAGAGCCCCCTGGGTGAATGGTAAAGACTTTGAATTTCATGTGAAGGTTCTCATGAGAGGCATTAGAAGTTGCTAAAGGTTTGTGGTTCTAAGTGAGATAGTGGTAAAGGGCTAGAGCTAAGCTTGTGGTTGTTTCATATGACCAATTACAAGCTAAAATGAAGCTTGACTGATTCTTGGTACTTCTTTGTTGATGATTGTCCAACTTCCTAAGCTGTTCCCTGTCAACAATATATAAATTAAAAAAACAATAGGAGCACTTCAGTCTGATTTATATGGTCTGGAGGGTTGTTAACGGGTTACAGAAGGCAAGGGGGAAAATTTGGCTTATTAGGTTCCTTTTTATGCAGATGGATGTTGCACAGCATCATGTCAAAACTTATGACAAGGATAAACACAACATGTCTTAGCTTTCCTGTGTATATGCACTGAGACTGATCAGGAAACAACCTGGGATAATGCAGGGTGCTGTCTGGTCCCCAAATTCCACCGAGGAGCAGCCTCAGGAGAAAAAAACTTGGTGGCGTCTGTCAGTGGGATGTGGTCAGGCTGTGCAGTCCTGTGAGACCTGTCTGCAGCATAACCTGGGACCATCTCAACGCAGCAGCCAAGGAGAGGTTCAGTCTACAGAGTTACAGGTATTGCATGTGTATGCAGGTGCCAGGTCCACAAAGTGTTACAAGACTCCTTTTTGCCTTCTTCCCCTGACATATATCTAATTCTGAAGCCGTTTGAAATGTTAGGAAAGGCGGTAGGCTTGGAAGTGAAGAACTGCTTTGTCACCATTGCAGCTGATACAGCAATAATTCTGGGAAAGATGCTGTAAAAATAAATGTCTGTGTTTTGAAATGTTTACTTCTTGGTTTCTCTGCAGCTGTTGCCTTACTGACCCTTTTACTACTATCTTGCATCTTCTCTGCTGCTTGCTTTAGTACTTTCTAGAGGGGATGGGAGATCTTCCTTTTTTAATTTCCCTATTTAGTCTCAGCTTGTTCCTTCTTTTTACAGCCTATATTTTTGTGGTGATGAGCCACAAAAGAAGTGGCTAGGTGGCTATTTTAAGTGAAAACTGTTGATCTGGACAGCTTCAGGTGTCTGTTGTCGTTCAGACTGGCCATTAACAAAGTTGGAGTAGTTTCAGTGAAATTTCACTTGTGTGCAGGCTTTCTAAGCAGAGATCATGGGACAGCTTGTTCTCTTTCATAGATGATTCTGGCCTCTTAATTGATTCTGCTTATATAAACAAGTAGAATATGACATATCATTAACTGAAAACTAAAAACAAGCACCTCAGGACCAAAATCTGACAGATTTTCATAGTATGCGTGTAAATAGAACAGGATGTTGGAGAATGTTCAGAGGTGATGAAAGTGTGAGTCGGAGAACAGCTTTCTGCAGTATTTGGTGAGCAGGCAGAGCATTGCCACCGAGTGGAGAGGCCTGGCCTCCCTTCCTGCCTTCAACTCTTGCATTGCAAAACTGAAGTGCACAAAGCTTTGTGGAAGCCAATTACTACTGGGGGGGGGGAGGAGTATTTCCAAAGACTGAGGTCTTTCAAAATGACCTTTTGAAATGTTTCCGTGAAGGTTTTGAGCGCTGAGCAGAAGGTAAGGAGGTTTCCAAGCTGAGAGCACGGAACGTCTGCCCGAGCATTTCACTGAGCCCCCTTTGAAATTCCGGCTCTTTTGTGCCTGAGCAGAATGGAGGCACTTGAACAAATGTGATGATTAGTGCAAATGTGATGCTTGAGATGTTTTAGCTTGTACAGAGCACATCTTGTCCACTCCTAAAGCCCAGCTGCTTCATGTAGAGTGTAGCACACATAAACTGCATTTGCTGTCGCCTCTCTTTAAAGCTTTGTCCGCAACCATACAGCACGATCCTTTCACTGAAAATACACAGAGCTCTTCACTGGCTTATTAAACTCAGTCTCAGATCATGACGTTAATCCTCAGTGTGCTGTAATACACCTTGGCTAACAAATTATCACAATTTTAGTCCAGTGACAAGCATAATTTCTTTAATTTTGGGGCCCTATTGAGTCTTATATGGTTGGTGGAAAGAATCCTTTTTGCTTTCAGTGGCTTCTGGTTCTAGTGGACCTGCTGTCCTCTATGACTGCTGAATCCTTATAGTGGAGTTTTGGGTACTCACTTCTCTCTCTGCAGCAAGTCTTTTCTTGAAAGTCTGATACTTTGTACTAGATTTCAAGAGGTAGAAATTAGAACACAGCACAGGAAACCGAACAACAAAGTGAATCTGCATGAGGTACAGGGAGAGAGTTCAAAATGCAAGTTCTGATACAGTTATGTGTTGCTTCTTTAATGCAGGCTTGCTCTGGTGGGGGAGCAGTGCCTGTGTTTCCATAAATGCCACGTGTCTGCAGAGGTCAAATGCTGGATGAGAAAGAAATACTTGTTTGTGTCTGTAGGAGTGCTTGTAAGGTAACTGGTTACAGGTAGTCAAGCACAACAGGAGCATCCTTTTATTGCTTCACTTCCACAGCATTTGTAGATCGCTGGTGTACCAGAAAGTTCAAAGAAGTGTCTTCCCCTCTTTAATTTAAAGTAAAAATATGTATGCAATAATGCTAGGAAATCTAATCTTTAGAAGTTAAGTTAATGTAAGTTGCAAAGGCATTTCTAGGAGATTAATAAAGCATATCCTGTTCCCTCTTGGTGTAGAAGCCACTTCTGTGCCTGTGCTGTCTAGGTGCTGAGAAAACAAGTGTATTGGTGTGAGACTGTAAGTACAGTTTTGTATGATCTCAATACTTCATGAAGCTATTTTGAAATTATTTCTACTGAATGGGCAGACAATTTCTGGCAAAAATGGTTTATTCTTTTGACATTCAAACTTCATTCTTAATGCAAAACCTGGTGAACAAAGGACAGATTCAGTGAATCTGACTGTCAGTGCTTGCATAAAAGGATAACTTACTTAACTTCTTGTTGGCAAAGATGATGGAGAATCTCTGTAATGATCAATGGAAAAGAGAAAAATAACAATGAGAACAAGTGCTGGAGGATATAAAGCTGAATGCACAACTTGTTTTTAATATGTGGCAGAACACTTGAAAAGATATGATTCCTAACAAACTGCTTACCAGATAATAACATTTTACCTGTTTCTGCACATCCTTTTCTTTGCTAAAAGCTAGAGGTGGAAGTCACCTTCCTTCAGGTTAACAAAATGCCAAAGGGACTGGGGTAAGATTCAAGTTTAATTCAGGCCACTTTCTGTACTGGATGAGGGCTGCTGCTTTGGGGAGACGACTGAGGTGGCTTTCAGGTGGTAGTTAGGTTGGTACTGGACATTTCAGCACTTGTTGGTTACTGCAGGTATACTGCCAATGAGATAAAACTGCTATCTTTCTCCCAGATGCTGTAACAATGAAGGGGTGAAGGAGAAGCATCTTGTTAAATAGTTTTTTCTTCACCTGTGGAACAAAATGGGAAGAGTTCTAGGTAGCCACCTGAAAACCAGGCAGAACATAGCTTGGTTATTCTTCTAGACGCAGCCTAGAAATAGTTAACAGGTTACATAGGGAACAATTCATTTTGTCCAACCTCTGTTTAGTTTACTGGAAGAACCTTTAGGTTGTGAAATGTACACTGTGTGTTCTTGTGCTAGAATGAAATGTTTAAAAGAGGAAATGTTTTCAGTAATATTCTAGGAACCTTTGAATAAACACTGTTCGTCTCAGCATGAATGGTTCAAATTTGAGCTTTTGGGCCCTTGAAAACAAACATGTTTCTGCTTTGATTCAAATTCTGCTCTACCAGCGTGAAAGAGTTAAAACCACAACCTAATACTGCAGGAAAGTGTGTAAAGGGGAACTCCCAGATGGGACAGAGCTGTCAGAGCAGCTTCTACATACAGTCCTCTTTCTGCTCAAGGCACACACAGTTTTTCCTCCCTGGTTTACAGAGCAAGAGAGGATATTAGACCATTGCTTGAGCAGACAGAATACTGGCCAGCTGTACAATCAGTCTGGACTTGCCCCGTTCCAGAGCTGAATTCACCAAAACTGATGCATGGTTTTGCCCTTTTACAGGTTGGTTACAGAAGCTTCCAAGCCAAATGCTGCCTTAGGTTATGTATGACACTGGCTTCTGCATCACTGAAAATGATTGGCAAGTCTGTTGCTTCAGGTGTTTTCACTGAGGTTAGGGATTTACAGAAATAAACAGTGTTAAGACTGAGAATAAAATCAGTATGTTTGACACAGAATCGGCTAGCAATATTATTCTTACTTGCAGGAAAGTGCTGGTTTAATGCACTTGTATCAGTAGGATCTCAGTATTATGGCTTTATTAGAAGTTATCTAGCCTTAGCCAAGATAAGAAATGATAAGTAAGAATTTTGGTGCTAATCTTAGGAAGCTTTTGCCTTTAGGAGGACTTCAGAATGAACAAAGAATAGAAAGTAAATTGAAAGTTCACACACATTGGAAAGGTGAAGTCAGAGATAGGTAACAACTTTACAGGTGGTTCATTAGCTGTTCTTTAACATGCTTTACTGTTTGGAGAGTAAAAGAACAACAGCACATCTCTGTTAGGAAGAAGAAAACCAGTTCACTAATTACAGATGTTTTTACAAAGAAAGGAGGGAATGCAAAGGAATGCACTAAAACTAGCCAAGAGATAGGCAGCTTTTTCCAAAGGTGCACTATTTTTAGTGCTATGTTTTGCTGTGTGTCTGTGAAAGGGCAAGCCTGAGTGTTTTACAGGAGAGTACTGTGCTATGAAACTCTTAACTAGGTTCAGGACTTTTCAGTGTCGCCAGTTGTTCATGTTTTTTATCTCATTCTATTGCATGCTCTTACTGTGTGTGTTACTGCTTTTTGCTTTGTTTTGCAGTTGTACAGTTTTGGAGAGACTGTTTCCATAGTTTTCTGGACAGATACATGGAAGCCAGAAAGCTTTTTTGACAAGATTGAGAAGAACAGACAGAACGGAATGCACACCTTGTGCTTACTTGGTAAGCAGCAGCTCCAAGGGCTCCTTAGCTACCATTTTCCACAGCATCCAGAGACAGGAGTGATAGGCATGAGATGAAGTCTGGGATTAAACAAATCTTCTCAGCTAACATGCATGTTTGAAAATATACCAAAACTTGGAACATTGATGTGTGTGTTCTTAGTTCAGCCATTGTTCATGCTGCAGTGGTCAGGAATTTGTTCATTCCTTGTGAAAAAATCCCTAAGAAACAAAGCCTTTTTAGAAGTCACATAGGTGCAGGAGGCCCAGATTTACTCTAAAGGTGACTGATTTTAAGCTAGATCTAGCTCAGAATCCCAAGTCAGGTTGCAGCGACTAGCAGCTCTCTCTTATTGACTTCATTAGGTTAGAGCTCAGCACATCTGACTTTCTGGGGAGCTAAACTGTACATTTAACCACATTGGTGTTGTGTAAGGTGATAGTCTTTTTCCTGAATTCTTTTATCTAAGGATGTTTTGGGAAAGGTGATTGTCACATGAGAAGCTTCAGTGCTGTAAAGCATCCTTGCCAGTCATGGAGCTGGAATTGAATACTGACCACTGGCACCAGGCTCTTCCATGGTGCTGCCTGATCTTCAGCCTGCCCAGCAATTCTCAGCTCAAAGCCACTTTCTGAATAACTCTACTAATCTGGGTAGCTCCTGAAAGATCATGGAATGGCAGACTGGTTTGGGTTGGAAAGGACCTTATGATCATTCAGTTCCAACCTCCTGCTGTGGGCAGAGATGCCTCACACTGGACCATGTTGCTCAAGGCTCTGTCCAACCTGGCCTTGAACACTGATCATGGAACTGCCTGCGTATAAACTAGAAGGCACTTACATGTTTATATATTTACAATTCTATACCTTTTGTAGCATCTTTTAGACACAGCTGGGATCTCTCAGTGCTAAGTTAATTAGTATTTTAAGTACAAACAGTCTGTAGTAACTGGAGGATCCTGAGCAGCAAACCAGTGTGCAAGCATCACTGCACATCAGATTTCCCAATGCCATCGAAGTTGCTAAAATTGGCAAAATATCAGAATTCTGGCAATTTGTTTTAAAGAAGGATGACTTTTGTCTTGACAAATGACTTTTTGGATGACCAGTGTTTAAACAAGGACTCTAACAACTATAATATGGTAAACCAAAGTATTCTGTAGATATTTGATATAATCATTTCTGTGATGTCCCTCTGTATGTTTTTTTATACAGTAGTGGAAGAGTAAAAGTTTGAACTGATAAAATTGCATTATAACCCATGTCCCATATCATGGACAGTTGTGGTACCTGCATCTGATTGTAGCTCATACCTGAAAACTACCAATTTGAAATGAATTGTTCCTTAACACTACTTGGTCGTTTGGGCCCATGTATTTATTGCTTGTCCAACTAGACTGGAGAAGCACATAAAAAGGGAAGTGCTGATAAGCTTTGGAATTACAAGTGACTTGACAGTCACATAAACAATTTGATAAACTGTTTTTACACCCCTTTCTTCAGCATCCCTGTGAGTTAGGAGTTGATTGTATAACTTAAGCAATACTTTTCTTTAAAATCAAGGTGAAAAATGTATCCAGCTTTTACCGCGATAGTCTTTTGGGGGTATTTGAATACAGATGTTTTGATTGTGTCTTGGACAGGCTGTGGTCAGATTTTCACACAGTTGCAGATGTGCGGAGTCTAACCTGGCCCTTTCTCTGTTGTATTTTTGCCCAAATCCTTTTTTTCTTCCCATAACAGAAGCTTGTTCCGAGTGTTCATGGGGACAGGAAGCGCTAACGAAAGTCAGGTTCCTGCATGGCACTGATGTAATTGCTGTTGATCAGTCATCCTGTTCTACCTTTTGTGATCACAATGTACTCAGCATTTACAAGTACCTCCAGTACCATGGTGTGCTTCACCATGCTGGCATTTCGCTATCCTGTAGCCTGCTATTTGAATACTTAGAAGTATTTGTATTTGTCTGTGAGATCTGTGAAACGAGCCCTATTTTGGGGTAAAATTACATGCATAAAATCCCAATGCTTTGTGATTAATTAACATCTGAAACAGCAGAATGTTTAATCCATAGTCTTTGCTCCTGTAATAACCAAAATGCTATTATAAAATTTATAGTATCTGCTCATTTAATTAAGCTTTACATACATAGAAAAACTAAGTGAGGAGTTTGTAGGGGACCTGTGTTTTAACACCTGTTTTGTTCTACAGATATTAAAGTGAAGGAGCAGTCTCTGGAGAATCTAATGAAGTGAGTCACCTTTCTGAAAGTGTATAGAAACACGTTTGTAAGATGTATAGAAAACAGTGTATTTATAAAGGAACAGAGGTTCTTTGTCTAATACTGACTGCACTTTCGTGCCGTTCTGTTGTCCTTCCCAGTGGCCACAGTCTTGTTTCTTACAAGGAGTGGAACTTTTCTGCTCAGTGCAATAGGACCTGGCTTTATTTACAGTAACTGAATGAAGCTGCAGCAAAGCATCATCTTTTGAGCTTTTTCTGTGAGAAACACGAAGTCAGAATGGATTAAGCTTGGCAAATGAAGTGTTATTTCACTGTTCTGTCTCATCCTCAAATAGATGAATAGCTGAAACACTGTTTGGAATTCATTCTTCTTTACACTTGCTAGTAACAGTGTGAGGCATTGAATACATACCACTCTTTTTAAACAGCTAAATAAGCAATATATAGAAAATACTCTCAAGTTCATGCAACTGTATTCAAGAGAGCTCTTGCCACATCTTAATCACCTCTCTGCAATCTTCTGTTTCAACAGTGGCGAATACAAACGGTTACTTTATGCACATGCTGTAACTCTGCTCTAAATTAACATCTGTGAAGTCTCACAGTATCATTGAGGTTTGTTTATTCTGGAGTTTCAAAATGAATGCTGTTTGACTGAAGCCACAGTTGGCAAAGAAAGCAGCATTTCATGTGAGAATGTATTCCTAGTCTGTAATCAGACAAACGTCTACAGGGCATTTGACAGAAAACCAGTACTTTGCCCTTGACTTGAAGTCTAATCCATCCTTCAGGAGCAGCTACAAAACCTGCATATTGCTTCCAGCAGCTGAATTTGCTCACATCATTTGCCAGCTGGAGGCCCTCCTGTTTCATAGGTGTGAGAGCACAGAAGTCTCCTCGTGTCTTCCTTACAAACGCCTCTTGTCTGAAAGGCCCAGCCTGGGCAAGGTTCATTTGCTGGTCTAGAGGTTTTTTGAAATAAACTGTAAGAACGCTGGGGATGATGAAGTGGGTTTTATGTGAAATTGCTCTACTTTTCTTTCCCTGCAGAGGTAGGAAGATTTATGAGCCACCACGCTACATGAGTGTGAATCAAGCTGCAGAACAGCTTCTTTCAATTATTCAAAACAGGAAGCTCCAAGGAGAAGAATCAGGTGCTGCTACTGCATTGTTTCTACCTGCTAGTTACACCTCGCAAGTCACACTTAATGATGAGCCTCCAAACTCTGCTCCTTTCCTCTCCATCTTTGCATTGCTTTTGGTCCGTGGCAGAATTGGGCTGCCTTAAATCCTGGTCCTGAGATGGATTTGGCAGAGCCTGGACATAGCGTAGTTCAACAGAGATGAGCAAGCTCCTGGAGGTTTAGTCCAAGCTTCAGCCTGGTGACCCTGGTTCTACCCCTCTTTAACTGTGAGCTCTTTAGAGTTACAGAAGGATTCTGAGCATTTTAGAGCAATTGAGCGTCATAAAATAATCAGTGCTATGTCTTATTCAGACCAGTCACACTCTGCGCTACATGAGCACCAGCACAAACCCAGGTTAACCCTGCAGTGCAGAACTGGGATTCTGACCTTGAGTTCTTAACACTGGTCAAGCATGAACAGCGAACAGTGTTTATTGAGGCCAAGGGTGAAATCACAGCAGCTGTAAAGATGACTGTTGTGCCACAGAAAAATTCTACGTTCCTCCTTTTAGAAGTTTATTCCTTAAATGCTGTTAAAATGAAAATCCTTTCATTTTGTCCTTCACATAGAATGAATCAGGAACAGCAGTTTCCTCAAAGTGAACACAATTCCTGAATGCATTTCCTGTTCTACTTCCACTGTCTTCCCCTTCTGACTTATAAACATCCCTAAGATACAGCTTTATTTTCTTTGAAGCACAAACTTCTTTCTAGGCCCCTCTGGTGATTTATGAAATGGAGGTTTAAGAAAACAGCGTTAAGGGTTTAAGCATTTTGAGTACTTTTTCCTTTATGTTAGGCCCATTGGTCAGCAAATGAAGCATTTAATCTTCTTTCTTACAGCAATCACTGAAAACACAATCTGCGTTGGCCTCGCACGTGTGGGTGCTCCAGATCAGAAGATTGCTTCAGGCACACTGGAGCAGATGTCCACAGTAGAACTAGGTGGTCCACTGCATTCCTTGATTGTTACAGGCACTCTGCATCCTCTGGAATTAGAAATGCTTCAGCTTTTTCCTGTAGCTGGTTCCAGTTTTGAACAGCATGTGTGTCAAAGGACCACTTAAATAAAAACAAGGCATTTACATTTTTATTCCTTCTTTAATTTCATGACAGCATAAAGTTATCCTTGTGCCCAGTTAGAGCTTGTCCAAGTGCAGTTAGATTGTTGCTTCAGAAGACAACACTGCAGGAACACAGACATGCCTTTACCGGAGGCTACAAAGTGCAAGTTGCACCTGCTGGTATCAGCTTCTAACACATTGACACCTAACACATAAAACCTTAAAACCTCTTTGTCCACGTCAGTTCATTGACATTTGCATCAGTCTGAGGCTGATGACCAGGGTAAGAAGTGCAAGTAGAGAACTGAAGAGTAGCAGATACCTGTCTGGCATCACTTTTGCTGTGGTGCATTCACCAAGCCTGCTGCATACACTGGTGCAAGTGCATTCCGGGTGCTTGCTTTCAGTTTTGCAGAAACTCTGTAGTTCTCCCACCAACAGAAACCATTAGCATGCAAAACCTGTTAGGGCTGTACTCACCTTTACACTTGGGATAGTGACTAGAGACAGGTGAGAATGTTCTTCATGTCTAAACCAAGAAAAAGCAGAACTCACCCATTGGATGTTGGTGAAACAGGGAGAAGCCGCACAGAATTCTTATTTGAGAAAGCTGCAACTTAAAACAGAAGTGAATTTGTTGCTGTGTTCATGGTACCATTTATGGAGTTCTGGACTCAGGGTCAGAAAACAGACTGCAAGAATTCTTTTTCAGATCAGCCTGCTGTTGGTTCCCTTTCAGCTGCTCTTCATCGTATGTACAGAACAAAGCAGACCTCTACAAGTGCTTTTCTTTTTAAACTGAAGGTTTATTGGAAAGAAATTGGATCCCAGAGCTCTTCGGCAATGTAGGATATTGAACATTTTGCCTGGACTTAAGTACAAAAGATTACATTACAAATTGCTAGTACTGCACTTGGGACAAGTCATGGCCAAGCTACTAACATGAGCATCCCAGGAGAAAACAATACATAAGTCTTCAGAATTATAGTGAGCTGCCTTGTGTTGTCATTAAGGTTTCCTTACAGATGTTTGGATATACTGTACTAGTTAATTTAATGCTAAGAGTAATTCCTGTCATTTAAAGGCAAGCGCTATGCTGAACGCTACCAGGAATGATTTTGGCCATTTCCTCATTCACGGTATTCCACACTTCAGCCAGAATACTGCAGCAATTCATGTAACTCTGGCACAAGATCCCAGGATACAAGACTTCAGCACACACAAGTAAAATCCACCACTCCTTTTACACAATTTCCACCAAATTGCCACAAGGCTGGAACCTTTTGTGGCTGAGACAGACAAGCAGATGAGCCAGGATTTGCACGCAGTGGGACGTCACATGCCAGGCACAGCAGAAGCCCACCTGGTGTCTTTTCACATCAGAGCAGTCTCTGGCCAGTGACATCCCAACAGGGATAGCCACTGCAACAAAGCCAAAACGGGAGGAATCCAAAAGGGAACCTCAGCAAGTTGCTGATAGGGATTTTCACAGGAGAGTAAAGGAGGAATTAACCACAGAGCCAGGATTAGCAATCAGAGAAATGAATTACTGAAAAAAAAAATAAAAAAAAAAGAAAAGAGAAAATCCCTTTACGCTTATTCCCAAACACACTTACAAGGGGTGGGGTAATCAAGGATGCCAGCAAGTAGCAGCCTGATAACAGGACAGGGCTCAATTAGTAACTGAAGCTGCTGCTCTGAACTGGTATTTAAAGATCATTACATGAGCAGTGATTAGGATTTGCATGTTATGGAAGTATGAAGGTTCTTCCTGCAGCTGCAGCCTGCACTGTGAGAGACAGGCCATGAACTTCACAGTTCACTCATGCAGGGGGCAGAATGGGTAGAAAACTGCAGCTCAGCAGCATCTTCCCTCCCTTCTTGTACCTTGTTTTTATTCCCAAACCAGGTTCACTTTAAAGAGAAACTCCTTCCTTCACTTTGGAACACAGCTTCACTTCTTCAGAGGAAAAATCAAGAATGTTAAGTCATGAAGGTCCATTTTATTAGTAGCAGCAGTTTCCACTTTTATGTAAATACTGTGTCAGCAGCTCTAATGATGCAATTAAACTCTCGCTTTAGTAAGCACATTACATAAAGAGCAAAGTCAGTTATTTGGACCAGCACTTTTTGCCGTGGCTCAGCAAATCACACCAGAAATGAAGCTCTCTGTAGGGGCTACTGATGTGAGGAACAAGTTTATCCACATGCAGAGACTTACAGGGTGAGCCTACAAAGGACCAGGCTCCACCATACACACTCTTAAGAGTAGTAGCTTTCTTCCACTGTTATTTCCCATGACAAACATCTGGGGTGTTTTAGTACAGACATGCTCTAGCGCTTATCATCTGACTTTGCTGCAGTTCCTGCAAAGGTCATGCAATTTGCAGGCTCAGCTTTGGGACAATATTTTAGTTACTGTTTTCAGTCACGGAACTCACCCCTTACCTCCCCCAGATACAGATCAGGAACTCCACAGTAAGCTTCAGCTACATGGGAACATGAGAGAAGCACACTCTGAAACCCTAGTTCAAAACTCAGTGCTGCATAGCACGAGGCTGAGTTTTGGCAGATGATCTGCAGACACTGACCCATCTCTGGCTGGCAGTCCTTCACACAAATCTTTGCTGAAATGATGTGTCTTCCCATCAAGCATTAAAAGCAGAATGTTCTACAAGCAGCCAAGTACTAGGAATTAGCAAACCAGGAAATAACAGTGCTTTGACAGTCAGGAGAAGCTGCACTTTGAATTGCATGATCTGTCCTCTCCTAAAACCCGAGTGAGTATCCCCTTAGTAGATAAATAAGAAGAGCTCCGCTGTCACTCTGCTTACTGACATACCAAATGTGGTGGTTGTTGCCTACTGGACTTGTCATCTACCGTCGTACGGAGAGTTTTGTGATGCTTGGTTTTCAGCAAGTTTAAAAAAGGCTTAAAGTCTCCTTGGAATCTGACTTCCCTACACCAGCTTTGATTATGTTTAACAAACCAATGATCCATTTCTTACTATGAAACATCAATTTGTCCTCAAAAATAATGAAGAAAGTGCTATCTCAGTTAGAAAACTGACTTATCTGTTGCTAGCAGATGGACAAGTCATAATAAGCAGCAAAAATATGTCAAAAATCACTCCAATCTATATTGGGCGATTATAACCAGCTGAAAGGCTTTTTCACTCCATTTCGCAGACACTTTTTGTAAAGAGTTTGTAGATGCACATCTAAAAGAGAACCACCACCAAGGAAACCCAGTTGCCATTCAGGCAGATTCTCACTTGGAAACAAACTGTAACTTTGTTTGAATGTTGTCATTCCATTAGGAAAACTTAAGTCAGTGGCCATGCTCAGCTCCAGCAGCACCACAGTGTTTCACCAACTCCAGGAGTACTCAGTCCTGAAACCACACTGGTGTAAGAGTGATTTAAACCAGAGCCTGGCTCTTGGATCGACACAATTGCAATGAAGTGGGCTGGTGTTCATCTTGAAAGTGGCAACAGTTGATCTTCTGTAGCCTCAAAGAGTAATAACTAGAACAAAAAATAATAATCATGACATCATGCTGTCAATCAGCAAGAAGCAACATACAACAAAGCAATGAGGGATCTCTGCCCTGTCATCAGAACCAGATTTTAATCACCTTGTCTGTGAACATACATGCAAGTGGTATCTTAAACTGCAGCACCTAGATCTGCTCAGAAGATTTTGGCACCCTACCCTGTGCTGTGGAGCTGTCTGATCCCATCCTCCAGTCAGAAACTCCACGCCTGGCAGAGCACCTACAAGGGCAGACAGACAGGGAGGCAGATGTGTGCAAGCAGAAGGCCAGGAGAGATGTGGAACAGTGCTGTGGGCATCCCCAGCAGAACCAGACAGCATCAGGAACCAGCAACAGGGATAAAGAAGATCTGAAGACTGGAAGAGGCTGTAAAGCTTAAAAGCGACATGTATGTGGCTTTCTACTCCTATTTTTCTTCATGCCCAGTTTTCAATTCAAGCACAAGAATGTATCCCCAAGCTTTGCACAAAATCAACATTCAGGTTTCAATATCTCACCTGGAAAATTCAGGAACAACCGATCAATTTGGCAACCATCATGTTTTCACATTAAAGATAAAAATGTAGTGCTTTATAGAAATGACAGAAGGAATGCAAGGAGCTTCACCTCTGAGGTGAATTCAGCAATACCAGTGGCAAATTTCCACATTTTCCACCATTTCCACAATGAATCTCAGGTACTTTCACAGTGCCTGGTACTTCCTACACAACCACTGTCAGCCTCAGAGGGCCTTGATTTCACTGTTGCCATGTGTCAGGTACCAGAAGAATATCCCAGTACCAGAAGTCCATCCCAGTCAGTACTGGCTATGATTTATCAGGAAAATGCCCATCTTGTTTTTGACTCCACAATGTTCTGTGCATAAAACATTCTCTTAGAGTCTTCCATTGCTAAGTTAACTACTACAGCATAGTGGAATTATCACCTGTAATACCAAGTATAGCAGATTGTCTTGCAACAACACTCAGAGCAAAGTGTACTGCATGGAGAACTCCTTTTTCCATGAAAACACACAAGGCTGCAATGAGACAGTAACAAACACCAGACTTGTCAACCAGGGAAAAGCCTAATCTTAAAGGGCATGAACCATGGTCCATATTTCCATTGCAGGTATAACCACCAGGAACAACTGTTTTCAGTATTTGGAAAGGCAAAAGTTCTCTCACCAATCACTTTAATAAAAGTCATTACAACCTATTAAAAATCAAGGAGGTTAAATCCCTAAATGGTTTAGTGAAAGCTTCAATTTTTCCCACCATGTAATTTGGAAGAAAAAACACTTCAAGGATTGCTTCCATCACCAGCATCTTCCCCAAGCTGCCTGTTGCAGGGACTAAGAACATGAGTAGCATCATGTAATATCTCATAACCCTCAACTGTATGAGGGGATTAAGAATTGGAAGTAAATGTAGTATTTTGACAAAAGTGATTTCCACAAGGTGTGCAGTAAGATATCCAGCTTGTTTTGGAAGCAAGTCTCTTTGCCTTTTACATTGGAATTCTGCTGCCTGGTAAGATGCAAGTGCAAGGGAAGTCTAACATCTAAAGTTATGTGAGTACACAAACCCCCACATATGTCACTAGTAAATAATCAGACTGCATACAAGATATTTGTAAAAGTAATAAAACCCTTTGATGCTCCTGATTTATGCTGGCAAATACCTATCTTGATATAAAAGGCACTTTGAAAACCCAATATGGTTTGGTTCATTAAGTTTGCAAAGTACAAACAATTGTACAAACATACGATTATATTGAAGCATGTCAGCCACTGTGACATCATCTACAAAACGAGTTTCCAATGGTTGAGAACACTGGTTTTATGGGAATGAGCAATGGTTTCAGCAGCTTCACTGAAGACATGACAGGGTTTCCAGTACCGTAATCTTAGGAAGTAAAAAAACCCTCAAAACCTTACAAGTTTAGGGGCCACAAAATAAATCAAGACCCAAAGTCCGTAACATTCATTCAAAATTTACTCCCTAGAGGTGAAGTCCATCCATAGCCCAAGGGCAGAAATCCATTCAGTCCATTCCAGAGCAGTGGTGGAGGCAGGCTCTGTCTCGAGAAGTGTGTTGTTCTACCAGTACAGTACAGAAAACTTTGGTCCAACAGCACAAGTTCAGGAATTCACTACATGGCTGCAACATCAATCTGTATGTAAAGCTGTCTTACTCCTGCCTATGGAAAAGAGAAGAGTTAAAAACCCCGAACTTGTAAAGCCAAAGCAATTTAGCTATCCTGAACACAGTCCACACCAATAAGTTACCTAGTCAAGAACCTCAGGATCTTATTTTTTATCTTCTTATTAATCTTCCACATCCAGCTCACCATTCACTGAGATGCTGGCAATTTGGAAACCCCAAACTCTGACAGTACTGTATGAATACCTAGTTCTTCACCTAGTTGAGTGAACACACTTGACTAATTATACATCAACATTACATATTAATTATATATTAATTATATAATAACTACAGCTTTGATACATCACCTTTTCTGCTTCATCCTGAATAACTACCACACACGAAGATGCACAAAAGAAATTCTTTCCTTTGTCCAAGTTTAACTCCCTGAAAGCAAGCTGCTTGGAGAGCTGTCAGGGTAAAATGGAGCCAAGCGCAAGAGTGTAACATGGGATTTGTTGTTTGAACCAGCTCTACACTAAGATTTCAGCAAGAAACTATGATGTCTACAGTGACTTTACATGACAGCATGGCATGACTTTCAGTAAAAGTACATGAATTGTACAAAAGCATTTGTCTCAGAAACCTTGTTAAACTGGGCTTAGGTGGACTTGCTTGGTTTTATAATTCAGTATAAAGCAGCATTAAAAGAAAATGACTGTGATGGTCACTCGTTATGCACTGTGATCTTGAAGCATTAGGCTGAACACTGCTGAAGATCAGACTAATGCTTCAACTAACACCAACTTGGGTTTATCTCAGTCGAGTAGCAAAGCAGCTAAGATTAATAAGGGACAATATTACTGAGGAGAAAAATATCTACTTGCTCCAACTGCTCCTCCATTTATTACCATAGGTCACATAAGAAAAATGGTAAGACCTTGTTCTCCCAATTCACTTCCTGGACACATGGCTCTGGATACCTGCACAGCTACAGAGCAGCTGAAGAGCTAATGACCCACTTGGGAAATGCAATCCTTAGGATGTAAAATTCATTTTAATGCAGTAGAATGTTCTGCAAACATCTTGCCAAAACATAACCTTTAGTTTCAAACTATTCAGTCTTCAGAATAAGCCATGCAGGATGATTTCTACCCACTCAATAATCTAGAGCTGCATGTGATGGAACATCTCAAAAAGGACCAGACTTTAGGACTAAAATTTGATTTTAGAACATTTTTAACAACAAGAACTCATACTTCCCTAAGTCTCTAACATAAACCCAGGTATGTGTGTTTATATTTACTGGGTTCCCCATGACTGACTACTTCAAATTCTTGTAAGGAGAATTCATGCACTGATGCAGTGCATTGGAGGGGTGGTTTCAGTGATGCTTCTCCTGAAAGACCAGAAACTGAGTAGCCCAAATGCATTTAAAAATCACAAAATCCAGCCTGGGATTTTTAATTAAGCTGACAGTAATTTGCATTATCTCCAAAATATTACCCTTTAGCTGACAATGTTTTGTAACCTAAAACACTGGTTATAAATAGGATTATTTGTCTCCTTTTCAGCTATAGAAATCTGTCACTCAAAAGCAGAGAAAGGACATTATGGACCATGCATTCTTGGGAGGGAGAGGCATGAATGACAAAGACATTCTTAGGGAAATAGAAATGAATGATAGCATCAGCAGAGTGAAAAACTTACACAGGTCCCAGCCTGTGGTCGGAAGCCGTGTCTTGAGGGAAGCCTCATCTATTTTCTTGGTTCCCCATTGGGTTTCAATATAGGGTTTCAACTTAATCTGATACACCTCAGACAACTACAGCTGTTACTTACATTAAGCAGCATCAAAAAGCAATGCAGAGGTACAGCAGTTTCATTTACACTACTGAGTATTATGAAATTGTTCTATACAGCTAGAGCAGAGCAGCTCTTCAAAACACACCACCATCAAAACCAGAAACGTTCCGTTTTTCTTGATAAGAACTACAATGTCACATCAAGTGACAGGCGCTTTACACTTTGAGATGTGGTTTCTGCTCACAAGACATACCTGAGTAAAAATGTTGTGAGTCTGGCTTAGAATCCACCTTCCATCAGCATCAGGAGCTACTAGCAATTTCAAAGTCCCTATGTAAACATCAGTACAGAGGGTCCAGAAATGGGGCTCATGTAAACTGTAAACTCCTTGCAGCTGCTGCACCTAAAAATACAGGCACATTTTAAAATACATACTTCAGAAAATGTCAATGTTTTTTTTACAGAAAATATTATAAATGATATTTCTTTTACTTCTGGTTCACTGTGCAGTTTGTGATACTTCAATTCCTTATTACTATTTCAGCAATTGTAATGAAGGAGAACACATGCAGATAGTAGGTACATGTCATGATTTGGTATGTTGCTGCATTGATATTCTACACATATTTTACTAAAACCACTTCTGAAAACAGTGAGGTCCAACAGAAAAGTCACAGTTATGGAATTTGAGAGAGCATTCCATTAAAACAGCAGTTTTTGCAAATGCAGGAATGTCCCCATTAAAAAAAAAAAATGGAGAGATTCAAACCATTAACAGAAATCTATTAACATGTCTTGTGACAGGGGTTATGTTTGTCCTGTCCAAACCCTTTCTTTTGCCTCTGTCCACCTTTAGCAAACTTTCCACATATTACAGTCCTGTACTTGGCACTCCTACAAATGCTTTGTATTCACTTTGTAAAGGCGCTTCAATGTTCAGTCATAACACAGTAGTAAAGTTACATAGTACCAGGAGGCGCCAAATCTAGAGTAATACACTTCCAATGTTACTTACTACTAGACTTTGAGGGAGACAAAAAACTAACAAACCAGAAAAACATTATCCACTTTGTATCAGCACAAAGTACTTTGAGAGGAAAAGCTTCAGGCCCTGTTTTTCTAACCCACCCTAGCACATTTTAAAACATACACCAAGCTGAAACTACAGACAATTTAGGACAGCAGAAAGATCAGAATCAAACTGGTACCTCCATTTGTACAATCTAAGGAACCTTTCACAGGCAGTACTGGGAAAGCATCACAAAATATCCTTATACACACAGTTGTGGCTTATTCAGTCAGCAGCTTGATCTGAAGCGAAAACCGGCTAAGAGCTCACCCTCTGATAGCAGTGAGGCAGAGTGTTTTCCAGGGAAGGAGGAGTTCGCTGCATCAGAATTCCAATGGATTCTTTTAGAAGTGGAACAATACTGGAAAGAAAAAAGCAAGTTACAATGCTATTACATTGTCTAAAGATGCAGAGCAACATAACATTTCTTAATGCTCTTGAAGCATTTTTCTGCAGCTGTTTCACCAGAAGCTAAGAAAGTTGTCCTGAAAACCTGGTACAGAAAAGGACTGACACAGAATTGCTGTGGTGTCTCACTAAAGACAAGGTTACTTCTCTCCCAGATTTGCCACAGAGACAACTGGTGGATACTCACAAAAGATTAATAGTTGAATCCTGGTATTTGAGATGAGCTTTTTTAGTCTCTTCAAAGTTATATGACAAAGCAGCTGATAAGCACAGCTCAAAACCCAGACCTACTTCAATGGCAATCACTCACAACCAACCATAAAATAGGCAACTGAAATGCGGTTTGCTTTTGTGCTTGGCTTCAGGCATATTTTTCTTATGAACTCTGATAATAATGGGGAGATCATAAAACAAAATTAATATGGACCAGTCCAGGTCTAACAAAGTTATTCTGTCAGAAACAGACAACTTAGCATATTCTTGAAGTGAACTTAGCAAAGGGGCTCAGCCAAACTCAAGGAGTAAACATCTGGAAGCAATTAGAGGTTCCCTCCTGGCCAAATGGTCTTGTTTAATCAGCAAACCAAGAGAACACTTAGTGCCCTTTTTATTACCAGTACTTCCCTTTATTTTTTTTAATAGAAGCAGTTGGCCAGTTAGCCCATTTGCTGAAGCTACCACTAGGTATTCATACTCATATTACAGATGCAGAATGGCGAACTGTTGTTTAGGAGCAGCGTATCCTGTCTGGCTCAACAGAGCATCCTAACATTTTCAAGAGTATGAAAAATATCTACAGCCCAATACTAACACCTCAACAGCAATCTCATTTCAAGAGCATGTTAAGTCAACCCACCACTCTAGACCACAAGTGATAATGTATTTCAGAAGCTGTAAGCTGAATTTCAGTGTTCAGCACTGGCATCACAGCTGGAATAGATGGAGTAACGGGATAACAAATATCCAGAAAACATGTCCAAGAGATGAACTGGGCTGTCTGTTAAAGGAAACCACCAAAGCATTGCTTGAAACCTCATGAAGTGATGCAGAACACACTGCACACCCCAGGTGTATATCTGCAGACGGTGAACAGCATGTCCCAACCATTCTTTTCCATTTCTGAAGATCTGGTTCCATTTGTATGTGGAAGTAGTGCTGGCTGTGAGCTGAGCAGTTGACCTCCTCGGCTAACCCTTAGGCAAGGCTGGGAGGAGGTTAGAGAGTGCATGACTCTTGTCTAATGAACCCCTGGAAAAACAGACACCCTAAATTTTTGTCTCCTTGCAGGCACAGTGGTTATTCCAGCCAAATTCACTGCCTGATGCACTTCATATGGCCTCACACAGTTCTGCCGCTACTGGGGGGAATTGGTTCAGACGTAGGAAGAAGCAATTAGAAGCAGGCAGGAGTTGCCTAAACTGGACCTGTCACACAGACAATTAAACATTCAGCAAGGCAGTAACTGCCCAACCGTCTAAAGGAAGCCTAATTGGAGTGTCACATTCTACAGACAGTGGATTACAACAGTTTATGGAAAAAGGTTCTTATCAATGGACCCATCTCACTAAATAATGTCCATGTCACAAGCATTACATCAAAGGAGCTGGGGCTGCCAAAATACTCTCTTGCTGAATTGATTTCCGATTAACTCACTATTTAAAAATGCAGGTTTGCTTCTTTGTAATAACCTTGACAGAGCAATACACAAGTTCAGGATGCAAATGGAATACAAGATTTTTGAAAACAGACTCCAGTCCCATAAATTTAACAAGGCCCCTTTAACATATGGGTGAGGCTTCCAAAGGCTTCAAAACACATACACGTACAGCCTGCATATTTTTTCCAGGGAAAGGACTAAAGGAATGAAGACCACGGAAGCTTGCATTTCTATTGGGAGATACCACTAAGAGTGGGTGGGAAGAAAAACATGAAAGCAACACAACCAAGAAACATCTGATTTGCACAACTTATTTACATTATTTTATCTATCTGATGTACATTATCTGACAGAACCGAAATGAACTGGCAAGTAGGAGATTTGGAGAGACAGCCTGCAGAAAAGTAAGACTGATAGGTAGGGTGTGTTAACCCACTCCAAAAAAGGATTTGGTCAGTGAAACCAAGATTCACTCTGGAACAGGATGCACACTGGAGAGAGGAAGTGAAAACCCTGTTAGAAGCTTTTCCACTGAACAAGCTTTGAAAATTAGCATCTGCTTCATTCTGAGAACCCTGTACCTAAAAAACTGATCTTCCAAGGTTAAGTCTATTAGCAAGGTGTGCATAAGCATCAAAGACTGCCTCCCCTTGCCCAGCAGCACCATTGAGCATGAAGGAACTGGGCAGGGTTTAACCTGGAGAAGACTCAGGGGGGACCCGATCGCTCCCTACAACTGCCTGACAGGAGGATGGAGCCAGGAGGGGGCTGCACTCTGCTCCCAAGGAACAAGGGATGGGACAAGAGGAAACAGCCTCAAGCTGCACCAGGGGAGGTTTAGATGGAGCTGAGGAATAATTCCTTCCCCAGAGGGTGCTCAGGCATTGGAACAGGCTGCCCAGGGCAGGGCTGGAGTCACTGTCCCTGCAAGCGTTCACACAGCATGGAGATGAGGCCTCAGTGCCATGGGTTAGTGGTGGCCTCAGCAGTGCTGGGAACAGTTCGGCTGGATGAGCTTAAAGGGTTTTTCCAACCTGGTTGATTCTATGATTAGCTCAGAATTAACTAGTATACAAAATGTGAGTGGGCAAACACTCCACTCCTCATACAGGTGATACAGCTTAAAACATGGTCTCCCTGATGGCAAGATTTCCCCTATTCATGGAATTCAGCTACACACTAAAGCTTTGAGAGAGAAATCTTCTGTGCAAGTGTTTTGCAATAATGCTGCACAAGTTACGCTTTTATCCAGACCTCACAAAAGCACTAAAGCCATGGTGTGAAACAGCAACAGCTTAAAAGTACAAAGAGTAAAGGTAAATCGGGATGTGCAGCTTGATACTGCAGGTGAAAGCTGAAGCATCCCTCAGGTCACACCTCCCACCTCTCAGTGTTTACCTACAGGCTTCTCTTTTGGAAAGCTGGAAAGGCCAAAAATCCGGTTGCAGTGATGGGATCTGTCCTCACAACTATGTTAGAGCAGAAGTCCATGCACGCATCTCTGCATCCAAAGGGATGCTACCTTACCAGGTGTCTTACCTTTTACTGCAAGACCAACTAACACAACAAAATACAGAATCCAGTTTTCTGCTCTTTCAGGTTTTCCACTGCTCCATACATACTACTGACGTACAAAACCTTTTAATTAAAACACAAAACTCCATACAGTATGCCCTTTTCACAGAATCCTAAGGGTTGGAAGGGACCTCAAAAGATCATCTGGTCCAACCCTCCTGCAAGAGCAGGGTAACCTAGAGTACATCACACAGGAACTTGTCCAGGCAGGCCTTGAATATCTCCAACATAGGAGACTCCACAACCCCCCTGGGCAAGCTGTTCCGGTGCTGTCACTCTCGCAGTAAAGAAATTTTTCCTGATGTTCACATGGAACCTCCTATGCTCCAGTTTACACCCATTGCCCCTTGTCCTGTCACTGGACATCACTGAAAAAACCCTAGCTCCATCATCCTGACACTCACCCTTTACCTTTACATATTTGTAAACATCGATGAGGTCACCCCTCAGTCTCCTCTCCTCCAAGCTAAAGAGTCCCAGCTCCCTCAGCCTCTCCTCATAAAGGAGATGTTCCATTCCCTTAATCATCTTTGTAGCTCTGCACTGGACTCTTTCAAGCAATTGTTTCTCAGACGCTAACAAAAAAACAGTATTATTTAATCACCAGGAGGCACTAGAAATACTAGTTCCATCTCATGTGACTGAAGAAAACACTAGGAAAGATGAGCAAGCAGGCTGAAAAGTGTGGTTACAGAATCTAACCAAGCTTTCCTTTTTTTTGGATTAGTCATTAGTGCAAGACACATGTGGCTGTCTCTGCAGCAGCTATTGCACTGATACTTCCCCTCCCTTTTGCTCTTTATTTACAAAAATATTACTGAGAACAAACAAATGCTGCTGAATTCGCACCCAGCAGAGTTTTGTCATACAGCAGGAGTCTGGAAGCTTCGGTGCTAAAGCAGACACAATCTTTCAGTGGTCTCTGATTACCAAGCCTTGAATCTAAAATATCACACTCAATCCCAGACTCGTTTGGGTTGGAAGGGACCTTAAAACTCATCCAGCTCTAACCCCTGCCACAGGCAGGGACACCTCACACTAGAGCAGGTTGATCCAAACCCCTGTGTCCAACCTGGCTTTGAACACTGCCAGGGATGGGGCAGCCACAGCTTCTCTGGGCACCCTGTGCCAGGGCCTCAGCACCCTCATAGGGAAGAGCTTCTGCCTTAGATCTAACCTGAACTTCCCCTGTTTCAGTGTTAACCCATCACCCCTTGTCCTATCGCTAGAGTCCCTGATGAAGAGTCCCTCTCCAGCATCTCTGTAGCCCTCTTCAGACACTGGAAGCTGCTCTGAGGTCTCCACACAGCTTTGGAATGTAAAAGAGGCACTAACCCACAGCAAGACTTGGGACATAAACAGATCCTCTACAAAAGTCCTAATAGCAAAAGTAGCTAATGTGTGTAAATCGAGTTGGCAGCACATCACACTTGCACTGTTGCAGAGGGAGCCAAAGGTGTTCAAGCAGATAAAAGCTATTGATAAGTTCAGCTTGCCGCTACGATACACGGTTTGAGTAGCAACCAAGAGTGAAAGCATCAGACTCCTCATCAACGTACATCACATTCAGGTAATGCTCATACCCATTCCAGTCCCACTGTTTGGCAGGCGCAGCCAGCAAGACTGGCATTGCCACAATCTTGGACAGCAAGGCTGAAAACCCTTTACACAGCCACTGCAGTCAGAGCACAGCAGGAAATGCATTTAGTGCTTTCAGCACGATAGAAAATACTTGTGACAGAAGCCTTTGCCTTCCACAAAATCTAAGACTCAAGATCAGCTATGGCTCTTCAAATCCCATAGCTGAAAAACTGCAGCCAGGTTTCAAGATCTTTTCTTTTTCCTCCAGCCACCACCCACATGGGCAGTGCCAAGACTGTCACCTGTTTCAGAACTTTAGTAACAGTTTTCTACCAGGCAGTGGCAGCTTTAATCAGACTGCAGGCTTTGGTCAAGACAAGGATCACAGGTTTAATGCTTAGTTTCCCAATTCTAAATTGGCTGTTCTCATCACAATGCAGTGCTTTGATTCCCAAGTAAGGCCAGCAGGTACCATGAGCCTGTAAACACATTCAGTGCAGGCCATTTAGCAATGATGGCTTAAAACACCACCATCAAGCATGCTTGTTCAGGGGACTTTTGCTAAGAAAATTCCTTCTGAATCTAACCAAATGCAGCACTTCACTGAAAAAAAGCAACTTTTTATACTGTTATGCCCCACACATTAAAGGCATATATCCTACACGTTACACACGTGTTCCCTCAAAGCTCTTTCATGAGATATCATGTTCAAGCAGCTCTAGATGATGTAAGCCACGGAAACAATTTCACTTAAATGACTAAATTGCCTCATTTGTTCAACCCATTACTATGTGGTATGCATACTCTGTCCAATCCAGTATCATATTTAGTCTACAGTGCCTTTCTAGAAGCATGTGGGACTAACAATGGTTTCAAACTTCTTGCTTTGTTGGAGTTGTGGCTTTTGGTGATGACTATTTCACATCGAGACACTAAAATTGCTTCAACATTTCAGAACAAGGCTTCGAATTCTAATGTTAAAAAAATAAATGAACATTTAGTTTTGAATATTAAAAGCAATTTAGAGTCTTAAAAACACCTTGGGAAAAACTTGAAGAGTGTTAACCTGAACACCTATGAAATAGCCAAGCTTTTGTAAAAAAAATTATAAATACTTCCTATAAAATGCTCATAAAACAGACTCCTCTAACCATGTCCTATTTATGCATTACAATTTAATGGACACTTGCATGAGATCGTGCAGAAAGTAATCAAAGGAGGATTCACCAGATATTAGTGGTAGCAACCAAGAACACAACAGCTACAACCCCTCACCCAAACCAACCCTTCAGAAAGGGCCAAAGATTTATGATGCAGAGACTGGAAAAGATTGTAGGATATAGTCTTCCCATTGAGAATCCACAAACTGACAAGCCCTCTGCTTGTCAAGACTCAACAGATAAATACATAAATAGAGAAAACGCAACTTTCTACAACAAGGGAAAGCATAATGGAATTTGTACAGTGGAGAATATCTGACTTCATGCCTTTGCCTGTCTATATCTGAACAGCAATATGAGGACTGTTTTTCTTCCTCTATGAACCATCTTATCACCATGGATGGTGAAGGCAGAATAAACAATGGTTTTATGTCCACAAGCGTACAGGATTACCAAAGTCAAACAACACAAAAGGGGACTCGAGCTCTCAAGGAATATCCATCTGAAACTGCCAGTCATCTTGTTTATGATCTTGTTTAAGTGTATTTCAAGCAAAGCCATCAGTAGTTAAGTCTTTTGTGCTACTTAAGAAATAAAAACCCAACCAACCAAAACAAACCAAACCCAACTCAAACTTTCAATTACTGCTTGCTCCTGCTGTGCTGGGATGTATCAGTCTGCAAGACATGCAGGCTTGCATCTACTGACCGTGATGCAGATGACTGCACTCAGCATAATGGTTCTAGAGATCATTATAGCACCATGGACCAACAAAATGATACAGGCTGAGATCTGGGCTCAGGTCGAAATATGCTGCACCCGCAGCACAGAGCATGAACCTCGACACTCCTAACTGTGCTAGAAGACATACCTATAAACAGCTTTATTATGAAAGCTCTATCATGGAACATAGTCTTCTTCAACCTCTGTATGCATGGAAGAAAAATACTTTCTGATCAGCACTACATATGTGCTTTGCTGTATACAAAGCTAGACCTTTAAATGCAAAGTATATGGAAACTAGTTCTTCACTCAGCTATTAATTTGGCAATAGTTAGCATTAGTAGCCTGCACATTTATCTCCCATTTTTTGGTATTTCAGTAATAGAATTAGTTTGTAATAATTTGTCCTTTATGAAATTACAGGAGGTTTAGGTAAAAATATCAAGTTCCTATTAAAGTGGCAATTCAACAGTGATCTCTAACACAGACTTCTGTGGGCATTTAGTGCCCTACTCTGCTAATTTGTCAGATTCACATCAATAGTTTTGTGAATGCTGCCATGCACATGGTATAAACATGCCATATGTGGTATAAGCATAAGTAGCTGCAGTTAGTCAGATTACATTCACCACCAGAGACAGAGGTGCTCAGTTATGAGGTTATAACTGGAGTTGTGGCACTCCGCCCTATGTCACCAGTGAAACCTTTGCCAGAAAAGCCCCAGTAACAGCAGTACTGAATGAAATGTTTGCTTGTCCAGTCTGATCCAAACAGCTTCACATGGACAGTAAGCTTGGTAAGCAACAACAGGGAAAGGCCAGAACTACCTGAAGCATTTCCACCAGATCTGCAAAGGAATAAGGATGTCTCAGAGTACAAATCCAAAAGGAAAAAGGCAGCTCTCGCCAGGGAAAAAACCCACAAAAAGTAGCAGATTTGATTTGTCAAGGACAAGTGCACATCCTGTGCCAGCAGGCTCAGCTCTGCTGCCCTGAAGCCATTCTGCTCCATTTACTGAAGCACACTGGTTTATGTAAGCATGTACTAGATACAGAAAGGAAGCTTTCTACAGCTTGAACCTGAAAGACATTTTTGTATAATCATGCAAACAGGACTAAAAGATGCAGATTTAAGAGCAAAAGCTGCAGCTGTAGAAAAGGGAAAGACAGACAATTCCTGTAAGAACATAGCAAGAAAGCTGTACAGAACAGAGGTAAGTTATCACTCTTGGAAGAAAAGCAAACATTGCAAGTCATTAGTATAAAAGACAAACCTTTTCTTCCAAGCTGTAATTTGTGCTGTAACTTACATCAAAGACACTGCCAGCTATCAGTGATATCAACACTTACCTTACACCTATAAGTAGTGCTATCAGCATTGAACAAATAGGATCTGCTATCATTAGACCATAGTTCTGCATCAGTATAGCAGATATGATCACACCAATACTTCCCAGCGTGTCTGCAACAATGTGCAGAAATACACCTGTAAGAGATTAATTGACATCATTACAACTTGGTATTCTTAAAGCTAATAGAGCCTTTTAAAGCCAGGTTACAGAGAAGAGTTACAAGATCTAGGTAGCAATTTATGCTCATGGTCAATTTTTGGTTAAGCACACAGAAAACGACCACAGGATTTCAACGTACTCATAGAACACAGAGCATGTGAAGAATTGACATTATTTTCTGTACTTAGCAATAATAGGTATTTCAATACTCACCCATATTGCAGTAATGAAACTCTATTCCCTGATGCCTACATACAAGAAGTACTGTATAAGATGGAAAGACTGTTAACAGAAACAGCTCTGTAAAGCTTTGAAAGATGCTTATGTTTCACTGACAGCATCTTATAGGAGTTAATTGGCAAAGAAATCCAAGACAAAGGACTTTGAGAATTAACCAACACTGCAGACATGAACAACTTACTTTGCAGAATAGCACACTACCTTAGAAGACAAAGAAACAAGGACTTTGCAGATAACCAAAATTTAGCCTCTGGAGCTCTCTGCTGGCAACGATGGGAACAGTCATTCAGAAACAGCTTTTGGGATACACAGCAAGTAGTCTGGTATGGGCAAGATGCTGGGAGGGCACATGGCCATGAGAGCTGGTCCCAACAGACAGAAGGATATTGTTGTACATTTGGGTATGCCAAATAATTACTACCTAGTGCATGACTCAGTTTCCTCCCCCAATTTGGAGCACTTAAATTAATCAAAGTTCAAACCTGACATTTAAATTATCAGTAATTTATTTGCACTAATGCTCAGGAGATCACAGACTCCAATAGTGCCTCAAGCAATTCAGACTGAATTACCATCTTGTCCAAACAACCATAACAGCTTGATGAAATACAAGTTGTAAGCTCAGGCACCCTTTAACAATTATACCAACATGCATTTTCCAAATACATTCTATCTTAATACTGGTCTTCACTTGCCAGAGCACACAATGCAATTAGGCTCCTTCAGTTTCTGCATTAACCACTCTTTCCTAGAGTTTTATTATTTGACGTTTTCAGCATCGGTAACAGAAGCTGAATACGAGCTTTTGAGACCCCTCTTTTAAACTGATGTTTCAACTACAGTGAATGTAGAAGGGGACTTCAAAAAATAGCTCCTCTAAGAAAAACAGCATTTTCTCAGAGGCACCCTCTAAACCAGATGTGACAGTCAGTAAGAAGCAGGCAGACGAGGATAAAACTAATAAAACCACTATACTTTTTTTCAGCATACCTTGTAAAATCTGTTTGCTGGATCCAGCCATCCCTTCAAGGGAATTGTCACCTGTGAAGATTAATTATTGGTAGGTTAACATGCTACACGAGGACTCTCTCTAATGGTATGCATATTCTGTTACGATTTTCCCTTCTGAAATGTCTGGATCAGACAAGCTGCTCACAATTACCAGCTTTTACTTCAGCTATTTGTTTTAAAGTCTTAAAACACATTATTAAAAGAATTATCAATTTATATAATAGATTTTATGTATGCATAAAGATCAACATGTTTTTTAATGAAAACAAACTGAGAAAGGAGTCCTTTCCAGTATTTAGCAATGTAAGATCCCCTCAAGAATACAAGCCATACACACAAGAAAGAGCAAGGTCAAACAAATTTGCTCACCAGAAATATTTCACTTAAGGAAGCATTTATGCCTAATGTAAACCAAGAAGGATAAAACTTGGAAAAGGCAGAACTAGGTAAAAAAAAAATCCTCTCAATCAAGCAAATTAATGCCTCTGTGGAACATATATCCATCCCTGGCAGTGTTCAAGGCCAGGTTGGACAGAGCCTTGAGCAACATGGTCCAGTGTGAAGCATCTCTGCCCACAGCAGGGGGTTTGAACTGGATGATCATAAGGTCCTTTTCAACCCAAACCAGTCTGGGATTCTATGTCAGAAACATATTTTAAGGAAGACTTCTAGTGAAGATATACTGTAATTTATGTGAAAGTTTCTGAGTTTGAAATTGCACAAAACTACCTTTGCTGTCCCACTTGGGTGGGGAACATGGGGAGAGCAAGGAACAGGCAGGAGGAAGGAGCTCCTGCTTCCCAGCCAAACTCTGGAAGAACACTTGGAAAGCAAGCACCAATTTTCTACTAAGAATAGCAGAGAAAGGACAAGTAAATATTTTTATACTCTGTCACCTCCTGTCTGCAAATGTGATTTGGAGTCATTTATGACCTGCATTACAGCAAGGCTTTCTTTTGCATTGTTTCAAATAGGTGGTAACCACACTGTTTCTTCTCCCGTAGTGAAGGTTACTGATCATATTCTGCATGGATGCCTCCTCACAGATTGTTTGCCGTTATACTTAAAAAGATACACAACACAAAACAGATTAAGTTGAGTTGAGTCAAGATGGCCTATGACATGAACTAAGTACTTACCATGACAGTAATCCTGACCATGAGAGTGTCCATGACCATGATCATGAGTGTGTCCATGACCATGTTTATGTTCATGGCTGTGACCATGACCTCCGTGACTGTGTCCATGGCTGAGACCACCATTAAATAGAGAATGGCTGTGTTCATGACCTATAAACAAATGGTACCATCAGAACATACATTTAAATTGTTGAATCAAAAGATGCTTACATTTGTTTCTAAGCAACTTAAAACCTACTCATCTTGTAGGTCATCTTAATGTACAGCTTTAAATAAGTTCAGAAAATTAACACAAGCCATTTGATATCTAGATCTATGCTTGGCAACTGCATAAAAATATACCTGATTTGAGAAGTCAAATGCTTTTATACATTCCCACTTCAGAGATAAGTTGTGCTATCCTTTTAGTACAACTGTGTAGACGTACACATAATAGAAGCATATTAAAAACAGCTGTTTTAAGAAACCAGAAATTGGCTATCACTCAGACATTAAAAAATAATAAAATCAAGCTAAATCACTGGTTAAAGACCAAAGCCCATTTTCCTCCACCAGTCTATACTGGTTTATGCGGTAAGCTGAAAGAGATACCAATTAGCTTTGCAGAAAGAAAAAACCCTATTTACCAAATATATATATATATATTTAGGCAAATACTGTATTTTGAATTTAGGTGCAGAATTTAAGTTGAGAAGCATCTGAAGCGGAATCAGCCCACACTTAAGATCTGGTTCAGACACTGCTTTGTAAATTTTCCAGTCAAAATCTGCTTAACTCCAGCTTAATTTTTTTCAAATGACACTCTGCAAATCTGTCCCAGTAAGGCACAGAAGAGCGCATGTTCCAGAAAGTACATTTGGAGTTCTAGGTCTTCCAGTTAATGGATATTAACACTGAAAGAAGCAGTGATGTACCAAGGCTAGTGATAAAACATACAAGTCAATACTGCAACAAGTCACATATCTATTTGCCTAAGATTGCCACTAAAACATTAAAATTCAATCCTGGGGTTCTCAGGGTGCCACAGAAGGAAACAGTACTGAAAATTATAGACATCATACCAGAGCCATGTGAATGCCCATGACCTCCATGTTGAAAAACAAATATTCCTATAAGATTTACAATGAATCCTAGTATAGAAACAGGAAGAAGTCTTTCATGATGCACATCAGGAGGCTCGAGTGCTCTCTAAAAAACAAAACAAAAAAAAAATAAACACCAAAACAAAGCTAACAAACCCAAAGCCACAAACCCAGACGCAAATGTAGTTTTACAATCTCTTTACATCCTTAAAAGACACTGAAAAACCTAGAAATCGCTCAGGACTTTCAGATTTTGGGAAGGTGCATGGACAATTCTTTCTGTTGTTTATTATGAAAGCTGTGGAAGTATAGCAGAATATTCTGACAGTCTAACTTTTATCACAAGATTTCAATGTGCTGCAGCATGTGACTCAACACCATATGAAAACATTCAAGTGTTGTACAATGTGGACCGATCGAGTCATTAAAAAACTTCCAAGAGTCTAGAATGCCACTTCTTCCTTTCTGCTAAGAAAGATGAGAGGAATGAAATAAAGACTGAGAACAAACTGCAGCATTTTCTTAAAACTTCTAAAATCTAGATTGATTTTTTTTTTTTAAACTCATTTCTTACCCTACTTTCTTTGGAAGTTTTTCTTCAGTGAGACATTATATTATAGGCCTAACACAATTTGCATCTTGAAGCTAAGTGTTGAAGAGTGTAAATTACTATTGATGGGGGAGAGAAACATTCACCATCTGCCCCCACATATGAAAGGAATAGCAAGACAATGAAACTTGCAGTAGATGTAACATTTTAAAGCAACCAAGAGAAAAGGAGTCACCATCACAAGCAAAGCTAATACTTAGCATGGGAGCTAAGACCAGCAGGAAAACAGTGATGTTTCAACATTAACATAGACCCTTCCAGTAGCAATTTTTTTTTGTATTTCTAGCAGCTTTTGTTGCTGTTTCTAGATTTGGAGTGAAGTTTTCATGTTTTTAGCAATTTCAATCCAGTTTGTACCGATTTTGAAATATTTACAGGCTTATTTACATACAGGATATGTTCCTGAGAAGTTTTCCCAGTTCTCAAGTAAAAAGAAAACCACTAGAATGTATTCTGAACTAGAAGTCTAAACAAACTTAGAGTGCATCTCCCATTAAAGAGTAAATGGCTTTAATATAAACTGATCAGAATCAGTTTTAGTCTTAATCCTACCTCACTTCAGTGCAGACATGCTTGATGTCTACATTTAAATCTTGAAATTATTACCTGAATCACCTTGTAAAAAAAATATCAAGTGCCCTTATAAATGTTAAAGCTATTACTACTTGCCAGTTATATCAGACCAAGATATGGCAGATAATCCTTTTTCTTTGATAAGTTAGACCAACTTTTTCACAGGATGTGGCTTATGACTAATGGCTCTCCTCTGAATAACTAGCATTTATCTTTCTTTATTGGCCTCATTTGTCCATTAACAATAAGAAATAAAGATCTTTCTATGACATGCTTAACGATCTCAAAAATGATAGGGTAAATCTCACAGAAACTTTACACACAGTCAAAATACACTATTTAAGAAGCTAGTAGTGATACACTGAAAAAGCTGGTTTCTGTGTCACAAGCCAACAATTTTAGATGGTCTTATTCTCTGTTCAAATCCCAGAATTTTTTAAACAATACAGTTTAATTTTTTCAATTCAATTTCACTGATTTTATCCCCATTAAATATGTTCTACAAATAGCAATGTGACCATTGATAATGCAAAGGACTCCATAACATACCTCAACACCTTCAGAAAAAATGAAGAATGCTGTAAAGATGAGGAATAAACCATTTACAAAACCAGCAAGTACTTCTGCTCGAACATACCTGCAAGAAACAAAAAAAAAAAAAACAAGAGTAAATATTAACGCCTCCATTATAATGCTAAAAATTAGAAGTGGAATTTATGAGACTTGGAGCACAATCTTCTAGTTGTATTACAAAGGGATTTGCTAAATGGAAGATGCAGTAAATTAACTACAGTAAGTACATACAGTAAGAAATTCACTACACTGTATTATGACAGAAATTACCTGATCCAGATCAGCCATTACCTGATCTAGATGAAAGAAAGCTGTCAATATGTCAAAATCTTCCCATTTAAGATGCTCTCTACTGGAAATTATAGTATAAATGTATATCTGGAAGCCATAAAATAAGATAATCATGTGAGATATAACTGAAGTCTGCTGATGTAAAGTTCTTCAAGCAGCCATAGATTAATTTGCCCTTGCTATAGGTAGAAATTATTTCAGACACTAAAGTTTGCCAACACAAAGCAGTCAGGTTAGAATAACATGTAAACCCAGTGTAGCAAACATCAGGCTTAACAAATTGTGGCTGTTCTCTAATAAATGGAACACCAGCTGTTTAAATGCAGAGCAGTAATTAATACAGAACTTGCTTTCACTGCAATTAGTTCACAGTACAATCAATTCTTCCTAAATTGATTTCTAGGCACACTGCAGTTTCCACCTTAATTAAACAGTGCTTTAAGTTTCAGACTACACAATCCATGCTTAGGCAACACAGTGGAAGCTAAATGCTGACATTCAGGTCAGTAATGCTATAGGGAATGCAGCAACCCCTGTTACAGCTCATTTGCTGTTAATTAATCATATCACCAATTTAACAACATTGTATCACCAGTATTGTTTCATAGGGCACAACTGCAATGTGCAATGGAAGCAAGTGCCCTTGGAACAGAATCAGGTGGAGCAGCTATATCCATGAAGGTGGTACAGCATGAGGGAGTTACTAACTTAACAGCTGACATAAGTCACCTTAAAAACCTACACTTTGAACATGTTGTGTGAATTCACAATGTTGTGTGAAAAGAGGTTTTGTTCATAGGAGTGAAAACATTCTACTAGGCATTTACTGAAGTACGTAAAGGTAACAGCCTGAAGTTCACTAAAGCACATAAAGGCAACAGCCTAAAGTTTCTTACCCATAGGAGAAAGCATCGTTTGACCTCCATTTTGAAATAACTGAAGCTGCTAATCCAGCCAATAGAGCAGTACAGTCAAAAAACATATGAAAAGAATCTGATATTAGACCTAAACTGGAGGAAAAAAAAGAAAAAGAAAACAAACAGGGAAAAGTTACATTCCATACGTTACATGTTTAGTATGAGAAAACAGCATTTAATCTTTTACACACTAGCAGAACACACTGTGTGTCTAACCGTCAGGCAAGGTTTTGCTAGCACGGAGGAGAAAGCCACACTAGATGACCAATACAAACATGGTGACAACTGCTTTTGTCAACTTTGGGAAGGCACTTTGGAAGAGTGCTTGGCAAAAAAGTCCTCCTAACATATGATTCTGGTGGCAGCAGAGGGTGGTTTCTATAACCACAGACCCTAGAGTAGATGTACCCACAGCCGCACCTCTCACCAACATAGTGGCAGGTATTTGTTCTTCTATTTCAATTCATAGTTTGACCATATGAGCAAAACTGGCTAGAAAAGAATATACACACAGGCTGCATTTAAGTACTGATCCCACATAAGTGCATTCTGCAGCCAGTTACAAAAGCAAACTGTGTTTAAAGGTACTGCTTCCAACCTGGCCTTGACACTGCCAGGGATGGGGCAGCCACAGCTTCTCTGGGCACCCTGTGCCAGCGCCTCAGCACCCTCAAAGGGAAGAGCTTCTGCCTTAGATCTAACCTGAACTTCCCCTGTTTCAGTTTGAACTCATCACCCCTTGTCCTACTGCTACAGTCCCTGACGAAGAGTCCCTCTTCAGCATCCTTACAGCCCCCTTCAGACACTGGAAGCTGCTCTGAGGTCTCCATGCAGCTTCTCTTCTCCAGGCTCAACAGCCCCAGTGTTCTCAGCCTGAACTGAGAAGACTCTTATACTTAATTAAGATGGAGAGAGACTTTTCAGCAGGGCCTGTAGTGACAGGACGAAGGGTGATGGTTTTAAATCAAAAGAGGGGAGATTCAGGCTGAATGTGAGGAAAAATTCTTTACAAAGAGGGTGGTGAAACACTGGCACAGGTTGCCCAAAGATGGCAGATGCCCCGTTCTTGGAGACATTCAACGCCAGATTGTGGTTCTAGGCAACCTGATCCAGTTGAAGATGTTCCCGCTCCTTGCAGGGGCTTGGATTAGATGAGCTTTGAAGGTCCCTTCCATCCCACACCATTCTATGATTCTGTGAATTCCTGCTTCTCACTTAGGGATGTTTGCTGCAGTGCTGTTTGTTGACACCCAGCTACCAGCCACCACATGAAGCCACATTCCCAGACAAAGGGTATCGGTGGCAAGCAGGAGGCCCGGAACGGTTACAACCAGTCCTGGCTCCTGTAACTCACGCCAAGGGCAAGCTTCCCCCTCAGCCCAGAGCCGAGCCGGCGAGACATCGGCTCCAGACTCCTGCCCAAGGCGGGCTCCGGCTGAGGGACCGGGGGAAGCTCTCCGGCAGCCCTAGGGCCCAGCCTCACGGCCAGGGCCCGGTCCCGCCGACAAGAAGACGTGGCAGTGTCCGCGGCGGAAGGCGCCGCTTCCTGCGCGCTGGGAGCCGCTCCCGCCCCGCTCCTCCCCGGTACCTGTTACTCCATATGCCGTAGAGCAGCTCCACGAAGGCGAAGGAGAGGTTGAGGCAGAGGAAGAAGAACAGGTTGCGGGAGGTCTTGTCCTTCAGGATGGACCTGCGCACGGAGCACACAGTGGGTCACCCACCGCCGGCACAGCGAGGTCCAGGCGTCTTCCGCATCAGCCTCCCCAGCCCCTCAGCGAGGGCTCGGCCGCTGTCACGGTCCCCGCTGAGCCCAGCCCAGACTGGGCCTCTTACCTGAACCAGCCCGACACCTTCCTGAGCAGGTTGAGCTTGGGCGGCTTGTACTCATCGTCCTTGATGGAGAGGGGCAACATCCTGGCGCGGCTGCTGGACCCAGGCTGCGGCGTACGGCCGCGCTGCTGGACACAGACGGAAAGCCACCACGTCCAGACCGCCGTGCCCGCGGCAGCACCCGGACTACAACCCGCGGCCTGCCGGGAGGAACCACGGGAACGCCCCGCAGCAGGCGGGGCAAGGCCGCACCGCCCCTAATTCAGCGGAGCGGCTGCGCGGCCGGGTCGAGCCGCGGGGTACCGGGCAGGCGCCTTTTGTCGTCTCGTGTCCCCGGGACAGCGGCAGGGACGCCTCGGGAGCACGGCCCGGCTGCTGCAGCGCCTCAGGAGGGCTCGGGCGGCCACCCGAACGTGAGCGAACCCGTGCACGGGGGGAGCCGGGCCGGGGGAACCTGTCCGCTTCGGCTGCGCGGATCGATATGAAATGGTGCCCACGGAGAGGGGGGGACCCACTCAGGACTTGTATTAAAAATACTGTATTTTGACATAGGTCTTGATTTCCATCCGTTCTGGTTTTGGTTTTGTTCTCTACAGGGTGTACTGTAAGAATTTTTTCAAGAGGTCAGTCTTGCACTTCAGTTTCATAATTTAATTGGCAAAACTCATTGGCATTTCTCTGCTGGAAGGTCCATTGAATGCTCGTTCTAAAGGTTTTATATAGGCGTTTATTTTAACTAAAGAATGCATAATAATGTCATCCTTGTCACCATTACAGCTGATCATATGCAACTGAGTACACACAAGAATGTATGGCAAGCCAAGAAGTCTCATTTCCACAGCAGACATTCATATTCTCACCATGTTTTTAAATCTTTAAATAGTTAATTGTAACAGTAGCATTGGTCAGTATGGCTGCAAGTAGGTGCCACCTAGGGAAAGAGAAGCTAAGGTTCACCTCTTTGAAAGCATGTATGGCCAAGTTCCAGTTTGAGTTTGTATGAGTCAGGTATCAGTGTCTACAGCTTTAAAATGAAGCACCCAAACAAGTGATGAGCTTCTGGAAATAGTTTCTGTGACATCTCCAGCCACACATCAAATAAGTCAGTGGTAAAACTCAAATTTGGGATGCCCTGTATGTGTAGATGTACTCAGACTGGTATAGGTACAAATTGGCAATTCCGTACATATAAGAAACAAGTTGATATAACCTAAACAAGCCACTCTTCTGAAATTTCACGTAGTTAAATTATTTAACAAGCTCAGCAAATCTTTGTTCTCTACGCTTTCATAGTAATGAAATAAAAAAATAAAAGCTCCCTATCTTTGTTCAATTAGGATTAAAAGAACAAAAATCCCTCCAACAGCCTAGGAGCCTTGACAGACTCAAGTTTCTTAAGTTGCTGTCCTGCATCATGTACATTCTTCCTGCTTGTGCTTACACTCATATTTGTTTTCCCTTCTACCAAGCTGCCAGACGGGGCGGGGGGGGGAGAAAAAATCCCATGTCTTAAACCTGTAACAGGACTGGTAAGCTCAGTGGAAGGAGGCTGCCCAGGGCAGTTCTGGAGTCACCGTCCCTGCAAGTGTTCACACACCATGTAGACGAGGCCCTCAGTGCCATGGGTTAGTGGTGGCCTTGGTAGTGCTGGGCAACGATTGGACTGAATGAGCATAAAGGGCTTTTCCAACCTGGTTGATTCTGTGATTCCGTGACAGCAGGAAGCGGATGAGACAGAAAATAATTTTATTGGGACTGCTCGCCTGACTGGTAGCTAAATACATACAGACTGTGAGGTTCCGGAATCCTACTTGTATCTCCATAGTTGACCCTAAGGATGGGGCACACAGACATTCCATTGGCGCAGAGCAGCAATTTTACAAGCAGAGAAGTGGGCTGTGCTTTTCTTTGTAACCAACTGGTGTAATAACTTCTTTCTGGAGTGTTCATGGAAATGCAGAGACAATTATTGAACTGAGGAATGTGTGCTTGTAAAGGAATGCTGGGTAGCATGTGGGTAACTGTTGCTCTTCAGTTATAGAGTCCTTTTAAATTCCAACAGATTAAAAGATCACAACTATCCTGCAAAAACGAGGTGGGGAAATCACTTGGCAATAATGAAGTAAGTTCGAGAGTTTTTTAGACTAAAATTATTTACATTTAGACTAAAATCATTTGCATTTCAAGCATGGTATGTGCACTTTGGAAAACAAATTATCAATATTTCTGTGCTAAAACACTGACACTTTCTCAGGAACTATAACTGATGTCCTGGATCACTTAATTTGATCAGAATTCCCTGGTAAAAGCCTAGAAATTCAGCTCTGGGGCACCCAAAGTAAAAAGGACATGGAGCTGCTAGAGCAAATTCAGAGGAGGCCACAGAGATGGTGCGAGCAGCTCTGCTCTGGAGCCGGGCTGAGAGAGCTGGGCTGGTTCAGCCTGGAGAAGAGAAGGCTGCTTAAGGGGAGACCTTAGAGCAGCTCCCAGTGCTAGCTTCCAGAGGGGCTTTTTACAAAGGCATGTAGCAACATGACAAGGGGGAATGTGTTTTAGCTGAAAGAAGGGAGATTTATATTAGATATTAGGCAGAAGTTCCTCCCTGTGAGGGTGCTAAGGTGCCGGCACAGGTTGCCCAGAGAAGCTGTGGCTGCCCCATCCCTGGCAGTGGTCAAGGCCAGGTTGGACACAGGGGCTTGGATCAACCTGGCCTAGTGGAAGGTGTCCCTGCCTGTGGCAGGGGGTTGGAACTGCTTTGAGGTCCCTTCAAACCCAAACCAGCCTGTGATTCTATGACATTACTAGTGGAGTAATATGCATAATATGTATAGATGAGTTATTTTTTAGAATTAAGCTTAAACCACAACAGAATATTACTGTTGTATTCAGTGCATACTCATCTTGTGAGTAAAGGATGAAGAGCATGTGGATGACACATTTGAGGAGCAAACTGTGGAATGAAGTAGCTGTTGGATCCTGCGAAGTTTACAGTTTATAGATGTCTGGAGAACTAGAAGTGCTACCTAAGAGGCATGAACACTGGGACTACCTTTGTAGGAGCTGCCTTTTAAGAGCTCCTGTTCAGTTCCAGAATCAGGAGGATGCAGAAACTCCTGCCTTATGCTGCAGCTTCTCTGCCACTTAGCTGATATATAGCTTCTAGCATCTGGCATTTTCAGTTTCCACTGAGTTCTAGATTTAGCAGAGCAGCTGTTACTGATGTTGCATTCCTACATTATTCCATTTGGCATGTTTCTTTTGCTCCACCTGTGCTACAGCCTCAGTTAGCATGATCAGAATCGTATTTTCCACATTATATGTGGAGCGTATATACAAACTATTGACAGTGTCCAACAAATCAGTGATAAAGATTGTTCCTTCCTTGGATGGTGGAGAAAGACCATTTTATTTCTTCCTCTCTGCAAGAGCTCTTGAGGACTCGCTTTCTCTGCCTTTTGTTTCTCAGCTAAGGCAAGAGCTCCTGCAATTCTGACTTTCTCTGCAATTTTGCTTTCTAATTTCAGCTGGATGTATGTATGTAAATAAATGTTCAATCAAAAATGCAGTACTGAGAAAATAAGAGACAGCAATCTAAAGAATTACTCCAGATTCATTTGCACAAAATAATGAAATGTGATGTTAACCAGAAAAGGTGAAAAGCAAATAAACATAGAAACTGAGTACCAGAAGTATGTGTCTTGATAGTTGAACATAATTGGCTGAATCATTGAATGGCTGTGTTGGAAGGGACCTTAAAGATCAAAAATCCTAAAATTCTCCTTATTTATTTACTTAAACAAAAGTCTATTTAATACTGTGGGAGTTTGCTCATGTAAGGGAGATAACTATAAGTGGGATTAATGACTTTTCCTTTCCTGTTACTTGTTTTAAAGGTATTTCCACTTCTGTAAGCTCCCAGGAAGAATTAAGGGAATCCGCCTACTGCGCTTCACTTCAGTGGTGATCATTGTTTTACTTCTTGTGGCAGGTGCTTTGACAGCTTTGCTTCCCAGTATCAAAGATGACAAAATGCCCAATTCGAGAAGGGAACCAAAAACCCAGAGTCAGTCTGCCTTGGATGCATTTACTCTTATTATGCAGACATATAATAGAACAGACTTACTGCTAAAGCTTTTAAATCATTATCAAGCCATCCCCCACCTACATAAAGTAATTGTTGTGTGGAACAACATTGGTGAGAAGATACCAGAGGAAATGTGGAATTCCTTGGGACCTCATCCTGTCCCCGTTGTCTTTAAAGTTCAAACTGTAAATCGCATGAGGAACAGACTCCAGAATTTCCCAGAGCTGGAAACTAAAGGTAATCAGCAGTTCATATTGCTACTATTATTACTATTTGCACACTTAAAAGCTAAATGCTAAAAGGGAGATGGTTTGAGTTTTACTGTATAATAAGCCCATGGATCTGTTGGTCCACTTAATATGGAAGAAAGCTACGTTATGACATCAGATGCACACCACCACTACCAGCAGGCTTTCAGTAAAGAGTAAGGAAAAAAAGAGGAATGTCAAATGCATTCACAGGCTTTTTGCAAGGTGTTCTCCATTTCCTTTGTCAGGCAAACACAGCTAGTTCAGCGTCTCTTTACAGAGTAAACTAAAATTCATAGTGCGTGTATTTGCTGAGTCTCTGCATTAATCTGGATTTAAGTCATCTGATAATGACTTCATTTAATCCATTTATTTACAGCTGAGTTCTCATGCACGTGCTGTTCTGAAGAGAAATTTCCATCCCTAGCTGTCTGGCTTTCTACCTCAAATTATGGAATCTTTTTAAGAGTATTTTTCCCAGTCTTTTGGCTATTCATCTAAATATTCTTCATAAGCTCTTTGCAGGAGAAGCACAACAATAAATCTGTTTCAAGTGGAAAAAAAAATCCCGTATGTTCATAGCAGCCTTCCAGTATCTGAAGAGGGCTACAGAGATGCTGGAGAGGGACTCTGCATCAGGCACTGTAGAGACAGGACAAGGAGTGATGGGTTCAAACTGAAACAGGGGAAGTTCAGGTTAGATCTAAGGCAGAAGTTCTTCCCTGTAAGGGTGCTGAGGCGCTGGCACAGGGTGCCCAGAGAAGCTGTGGCTGCCCCATCCCTGGCAGGGTTCAAGGCCAGGTTGGACACAGGGGCTTGGAGCAACCTGCTCTAGTGGAAGGTGTCCCTGCCCATGGCAGGGGGTTGGAACTGGATGATCTTAAGGCCCTTTGCATCCCAAACCAGTCTGGGATCATATGTTTCTATGATTAGTAAAGGTAATTCTGTTTACTGCCCCCTTCCTAATATGACTTGCAAATCAAAAGCCATGACTTCTAGGAAGACACTAGAAACTTCAGCATCCAAAATGTTTTATTTACTGTAGTAGGGTTTACACTGACTGTAAACTTAAAAAGCTTTAATGTACCTGAAGTTCTGATCTAAGAGTATCTTTCATTTTCCACTTCCTGATAGTCTTTTGCCCAAAATTTAAGGCAAAGATTCTTCTTTATGTAGTTCATGCTATTGAACGTTGCCTGTGCAATTCATTAAGCTTGCTTTGTTAGACCTTGCAAGTAGTGAGGGGATGGGTAAAATTTTATGCTGAGAATCCCTTATAAATCTTATACTCTGAAGAATGGTATCTAACTCCTTTGGTTGCATTTTTATGCAAGATTAGCAGGATCATAAGTTGTTTAATCTTTTGAGAAGTTAAATGTGGTTTTCTTTCTCCCCTTTTCAGCTGTTTTAATGATGGATGATGATACACTAGTCAGTGCTCATGACCTTACTTTCGCCTTCTCTGTTTGGCAGGTAATGTTTTGCACCTTGTCATGCAGTATTTGAGAGTTACAATTGAGATGAATGGTTTTAAGTAAGAGTAATACCATATCTTCATGCTTTACTACCAGTTTTCTAGCTATACAGCTAGATTTTAGAAGGATTGAAGCACTGAACAGTAGCAATTGCAAAAATATTCAATACTAGCTATACCTGTAATATAAAATTTGTAACTCTTCTTGTACAAGAACACCGAAGTTGCTGACTGCTGCATTTATTTAAATTGATAGGAGGCAGCAAACCAAAACTTGTGGGGTTTTTTCATCTCCAAGAGAAATTGTCTATAAAGTTATTTTGAATGCCAATTATACAGCTGCAAATTGTGTATAGATGTTTCTTGGCACTACATAGCATCGAATGAGGCATATTGTGTCAGTTCTGTGAAACTGTGTTTAATTGCAACGTTTATGCAGATCAAGGGACCATATGCCAACAATTTCATTCTTTCCTGGCAATAATCTTGTGCTCTTCTCGTTTCTTTTTTAAAAGCATAAATCTCACTTATGACAATTCTTAACACACATTTCACAGTGTGTTCACTTTAATTGTTTAAATTTATTTTTTCTCTCAGCAATTTCCAGAGCAGATAGTGGGATTTGTCCCTAGGAAGCACATTTCTACTCCTTCAGGTGTATACAGTTACGGCAGCTTCGAGTTGCAGAGCCCTGGATTTGGAAACGGAGATCAGTATTCTATGGTTCTTATCGGCGCAGCGTTTTTTCATAGTGGATATTTAGAAGACTTTCAAAGACAGCCAGAAGCAGTTTATGCTTTAATAGATGAAACTCAAAATTGTGATGATATTGCCATGAATTTTCTGGTAGCCAAGCATACTGAGAAACCTTCAGGAGTGTTTGTGAAGCCTGTTGACATAAGGAATTTAGAAAAAGACACTAACAGTGGCTATTCTGGAATGTGGCACCGAGCAGAGCATTTGTTACAGAGATCTTACTGTGTAAATAAACTGGTTAATATTTATGATGGCATGCCTTTAAAATATTCTAATATCATGATTTCTCAGTTTGGTTTTCCTAATTATGCCAATCACAAGAATAAAATGTAAGCCAATGGATTTAAGGGGTTAAAAGTTAAACAATACTCAGTGAATTGTACTGAGTTCAAGGAGAGGAGAAGGTCTAATTACTGCATCTTGGCCATCCTTATTTGTAGCTTCTCAACTTTTTCCACATGGCTTCTTAGGTTTTTTTTTTTCCTTTCTTACTAATTTTCCAACGTAAATTTTGAGAAAACTTAATATATACTAATGTTTAGCTGTGATAAAATCATCTCATTTCATTAAAACTTGAAAAGCTGTTACAATTAATTAGGCCAGTTCTTCAGAAACATGCAGAGAAAAATGCACTCCTACACTTGCAGTGCTTATGTTTAGATTTTTATTTCAATGTTAATCTAGTTAAATGAGGTCTAGGCGTATTTTTTATAGTTATATCTTGAGATACTTCCTTGACTTCCCCCTTCTCCTCCTGCTTCCCAGTGAAACTGTAGAAGGGCTACAGTAAACTGTTGGCCAAGCTTCTAGACTCCTGTAAAAAAAAACCTATGAAGTTTGTATATATAAACTATTCTGTATTCTGAGATGTTCCTGAAGCTGCTAGCCGGAGAAGAGTACCTCACCTTAATCTCAGATAGTCCTAAAATGGTTGCTTACAGCATCTACTACTGCTGAGATAGTGGAAAATAATCTCTGATGCGGCTTTTTTCCCCATTATTAATTTGCCTAAAGTTGCTGAAACACTACAAGCAGCTGAAAGGTAAAACCTAGCAGCTAGAAATGCAAGAAACATGAATCCATAAAATATGAAACTTTTATAAACAGCCAGAAGAAATTTAGGGGATATTACATGTTAATACTTTCTTTAGTCTTAGTTTTATTTTTATATTTTGCATGTACATTGTTACAAAAATATGCCCAAGAAAAACCTCACTCTTAAAATATGTCTTATTTACCATTGCTAATAAGAGCAGGCTGTTCTACATATATGACAGTGCACCTTTTTTTGTATTACATGTCTGCTGTTTTTTTAGCTACTCTTTCATAGAATCATAGAATCCCAGACTGGTTTCGGCTGGAAGAGACCTTAAAGCTCATCCAGTTCCACCCCCCTGCCATGGGCAGGGACACCTGACACTAGAGCAGGTTGCTCCAAGCCCCTGTGTCCAACCTGGCCTTGAACACTGCCAGGGATGGGGCAGCCACAGCTTCTCTGGGGACCCTCTGCCAGCGCCTCAGCACCCTCACAGGGAAGAGCTTCTGCCTTAGATCTAACCTGAACTTCCCCTGTTCCAGTTTTAACCCATCATCCCTTGTCTTGTTGCTACAGTCCCTGATGAACAGTCCCTCTCTGGCATCCACATGAGTATTTACTTACTTTTTGGTTGCTTTCATCTCTGGTTTTGTGGCTATGGCAACAATTACAATGTGCAATGAATGAGTAAAGCATTATTAAAAAAAAAATAAAATCTTTTAAAGTATCTGACAGGGCTGGACTGTTACGAGTCTCTGATTTCCCTGGCCTCATCTATAGGAAGAAACAGAGCTATCATTAACAGCTTTTGTTAGATTGGGATGCTGTAGTTCTGCAACCAGGGTGTTGACATAGATTGGACAGACCTTTTCCATTGAAGTTACACTTATTTTTGTGGTATGGAGGAAAGAAAATAGATTTTCTTGGATCACAGAAAAGAATCAAATCTGGCATCCAAAGTAGATTTAGTTTCATTTGCATCAGCTTTTAATTGATTCTTAAGACCAGTTCAAAGGTATCTATGGGCAATCATTAACACCTAATACCAAGTACACAAATAGCATCTGCACAAAATGGGTGTATCATTTTTTCAGTTTTTGTAATGTTAGCTGACAAAAAGTGGTTGAAAAACGTGACAAATTCTTTACAGCTGGGCTGATTCTGGATGTAAGTCTTTGGGGGAATGGAGAATTCTTTTGCCACCTTCTATCGGTGTTAAAGGATTTTGTTTCTGTTCAGTGAAGTCTTCCTAGTACTTTTGTAAGATTTAAAGGGCAAAATCTTAACATGACAGTGTAAAGTCTGCTTAATTTTACTTTAATAGTGAAAAGTAGATTTTAATTATTGTGCTGTAGTGATAAGTAGTAACCAAGCAGGTCTGCAATCTTTCCAGAAATGCAGCTTTCCTCATGGCAGTTTACTGCGTTTCATTTACTCACTGATGTGTAATCTCTGTTCTTTGCACTATCAACTAGAATTGTTAAGGCTCACGGGTGTTGTTTACCTTACTTTTAAAAAGAGTGAAATGAACTGGCAGCTCAGCCAAGTCTCACTACTGGCTTCTTTGCTGGGGAGAAGGAGTTGGTTTGGGTTGTATCCTGGGTTCAGCGACAAGGTGGGATTACTTTTTGTTTTTCTGTATCAGTGAATTAATAGAACAAGATTTTGTTACACTGTTTAATTTGTACCATTGTCAAATAAAATATGTAAACCAGATTGGTTTCAGTGTTAGATGTCTAAAGTAAGCTCACAGTTTGCATACAGATGAGCAGCACCAAGATTTCATTTTTTAAAAAACCATGTACTTATTGGCATTTACATGCTCTTAATTTAGGTAAGGCCTAAATTAATGAGAAAATAAACTGAGGGAGAAAAGCCACCAAAAACCACAGCTTTAAGCAGTTAGTTAGACCTAGATAGCAAAAGAAAATTTGAAGATATGATTTCATCTCTGGATTCATTGTGCTTAGGAACCAAAAGGGTTTTGTTTATTTTTTAAAGGCTGACAACTTTTTATACCTTGATGGCTACCAAAATGCCTTAGGATTCGTTAATATATTACTGAGGATTTATACTTTTAACAAAATAATATGTATGTGATGATTTCTTCTGAGAGATTATCTAGATGTCATTTTACAGTCTAAACAGATTCATCACCACCTCTGCATGTTCTATAGAAATTAATGTTTAGGAACACAGGCCTTTAAAAATGGCATCTAAAAGATATTTAAAAAATTCTTGTTGAAAACTTCAGGGTATAGTCTTAAAATGATGCAACAGGACTACAAGAAAATTACTTCTTTAAATGCAGCTTAAAAAACGCCACAAGATGTCACTGTAGCCTTGGTATTCGGTACCATCAAATGTTAAAAATAGTAATTGGAATTTATTAAAATCAACAAAACTATATGAGGTGAGAACATTCCTAAAGCTAGCATTTTGCAAGGTGAGCTGCATTAGATAATCATACTAACAGCTATGAGATACAACCCTGGAACTGAAAAAACATGGAGGTTATTTTGTGCATAGTTTTACAGGGGAGAAGGATTATTTTAAGTACTTTTTATGCTTACAAAGGTTCCAGCTAATTGCCACACGAGAACTGCTATGTAACGAAACCAATACTTGTAATTTTTACAAAAGGTATAGAAGTGGTATACAAATAACATTTGACAGTGGGGTTCAGTTTCTAGACACCTTTGCCTCCTAGATTTACTAGCCTAGCTAGAGGGACTTACAAATAATAGGCTTTAACACAAACTAGGTATCTAGGGATTCTGGATCCTGGATAGCTAGCCTGCTACACTGCTCCATCTTTGCTTCTGTTGCCCAAGATACCTTTGTTAAAGCTAATTTGAGTACACTCATTCAAACGCCCCTGCAGCAGAGTGCAGCACAGGCTTAGAAACATTGAACTGTAGTGAAAGTTTGAGTAAAAAAAGGCTGTTAAAAACAATGGTTCTGGAGAAAATACATTGATACCTCTTTTCTTACTGAGGATATGTTACCCCTTAGAAAATTGCTTACAAATAAAATTTATTTAATTAAGGGTTAGCTATAAATGTAAGCAATCTCAAGCAACACAGGAAAAGATAAGCACATCGATTTCCATAAAGAGCAAATAGCCCCCAACAACCTTTATTTAATCTCCTGTTACAGAAGACTGTGCTCTTAGTCTTGCAAGCATCTTGTATGGAATAGTACTTAACTTCTGAGAAAAGGGTTTCTTACTAAGTTCGCAGGACCAGGCCCAAACAGGCATACTTAGGAATACTAGTTCCGGAGTTATGAAAAACGGAGGCAAAAAAGAGCCATTTGAGAACACAGGTACACATTATTGGAACAAACACAGAAAATAAATAAGCAACTACAACTGCATGAGAAGTATTTTCTGTAGTACTTCAGTGTATTTATAAGGCCTTAAAGAGCATCCATTGCTTATGACACTTGCATTTAGCCTCATCTACAAACAACTTAGAATCAATTATATGAACTGGTAATTACAGGAGCTTATTTACAGTGTTTGGAAAACATGGTGATAATAACATGAACCTCAGGGCTGCATGTTACTTTGCATTACATGGTTTTTAAGGTGTTTCAAGGGTGGTTTTTGTTTGGTTTGGTTAGTTGTAACAATGAGATGGACAGCCTGCCCTGCTTGGCACTCAGCAATTCTTTCGAAAAAGGAGGTTGGTAGAAAAAAGGGAAAGTAGTTTTGTGTAGCTTTACCAGTGTCTTTGAAGCGCTTTACGAAGCTCTCCCTCGCCCAGCGGCCGCCAAGTGACTGGCTGCCTATGCCTAGGAGGCTCCAGAACTCGGCTGAGGAGAACCCCGCTCGAGGGCACGTCACCAGGCACCGCTCTCTCATTGGTTGGAGAGATAGGAAGGCGGCTTTTGATTGGCGAGTCACCTTGTCAACTTCTGCCTCTGCAGGGCGTTTGCCTCGGGCTGGGGGGTCGCGCAAAGAGTCCCAGTGCCCCGGGAAGTGCGAGTGAGCGCAGCGCTGGGGCGGAGGGCGGAGCCTCGCCGCGCGGTGAGGTTCTGTGAGGTGGAGGGCGGGCGGACGGACGCGGAGAGCGAAGGAGCGAGGGCGGGACGGAGAAGGAGGAGGAGGGCTGGTCACTGGCGCGGTTCGGCCTCGGGCCGGGCGAGACAAAGGCTCGTAGCGAGGTTGCTAGCGCGCCGCCGGTCGCCTGGTAACCGCCTGCTGTCTCTTTATCCGGGGGCGTTTCCGCGCTGCAGGCGGGGCGGAGTTGAAGTCCTCGCGGCCGCTAGCCGTGTCCCGGAGCTAGTGCTCGTCTCCGCT